CTCACTAACTTTATGCCCAGGCTGGCCTTGAACTGCTATAACTCCCAATCTTCACCTCCTGAGTAGCTGGGATTATAGAGATGAGCTACCACACCCAGCCTCAGCTCTTAATCCTTAATTAATAAAGGTTTCAAAAATTTCCAACTCAATTTTTCACTTTCTGAGAATCACCTAATAGTTCTGACACACATTCCTAATTTCCAGAGAATTATTGGATTCTTGCATAATAGCATCAAATCTTCCTCACACGTTTCATCCACATGATGGTTTTGAGAGTAAATAAAATTTGATGGTCTAATCAAAATCTGGACATATAGAACTGAAGGTTCATGGTCTTTCAGTGGGACTAAGTTATCTATGAAGCCCAATATCAGGTTCCATCAATGTAATTTTTGTTTCTATAAACTCTGCTAGAATTTTTTATATTTCTTACTGAAAAGCAGAGAAATATGTTTGCATACTTTGAACCACAAAGTTAAACATTACAGAAATAATTTCAATATGTATTTTATTATTGTTTATATGCTAGAGAACTTGGGACATTCTGAATGAAATCAAAGTGCATTTCATAGAGGCATTTTTAGATGAGAAACTCACTAGAGAAATTCAATAACAGATTCAAGCAGGCAAAAGAAAAGATTCACCAACTTGAGATGGGTAGTTAAAATTATCAACTCTAAAGAGCAGAAAGAGAAAAATAGGGAAATGAACAAAACCTGAGGAACCTGTGGGAAACCATCAAAGGACAGAGATTTGCATATGAAAGTCCCAGGAGGAGAGGAGGACAGAAAGGAGCAGAAAGACTATTTGAAGAAATAATAGCCAAAAATAGATCAAAAATAAATCCCAGAACCTCAGTGAACTTGCTGTAGGATAAAATCAAAGAGACCAGCACTGATACACGTTATAATCAAACTGTCAAAAGCCAAAAACAGAGCATCCTGAAAGCAGAAAGAGAGAAGTGGCTACCACTAAGAAGGGACCACCAATAGAGTAACTGCTTGTTTCTCATCAAAAAACATAGCCAGAAGACACTGGGATGGCTCATTTAAAGTGCCAAGGGAGGGGGGAACTGTCAACCAGGAACTCCACCTCTGGCAAAGCTGTCTCCAAAAGTGAAAGAGAGAGAGAGGGTTGAGCGGGAAAGATGACGAGAGTGACCTAACAATTGTACAATATAAGCCTAATCAGAAATGTCACTATGATCCCCCTATATAATGAACATATCCTAATAAAAAAATTTTATAAGAAAAAAAAGAGATTATCAGACCCCAAACTCTAAAGTTGGTACAGGAAAGAGTAGGAAACACTTTGGAAGTAATAGGCATAGGCAAGGACTTCCTCAATAGAACCCTAGCAGCTCAGCAACTAAGAGAAAGTATAGATAAATGGGACTTCATAAACTAAAAAGCTTCTGCTCAACAAAAGAAATGGTCTCTAAACTGAAGAGACCACCCATAGAGTGAGAGAAAATATTTGCCAGCTACACATCAGACAAAGGACTGATAACCAGAATATATAGGGAGCTCAAAAAACTAAATTCTCCCAAAATTAATGAACCAATAAAAAAATGGGCAAGTGAACTAAACAGAACTTTCTCAAAAAAAGAAATTCAAATTGACAAAAAACACATGAAAAAATGCTCACCATCTCTAGCATAAAGAAAATGCAAATCAAAACCACACTAAGATTCCACCTCACCCCTGTTAGAATAGCCATCATCAGCAACACCACCAACAACAGGTGTTGGTGAGGATGTGGGGAAAAAGGAACCCTCTTACACTGCTGGTGGGAATGTAAACTAGTACAACCACTCTGGAAAAAAACATGTTGGCTTCTTAAAAATCTGAACATTGATCTGCCATATGATCCATCAATCCCACTCCTGGTGATATACCCAAAGAAATGTGACACAGGTTACTCCAGAGGCACCTGCACACCCAGTTTATTGCAGCACTATTCACAATAGCCAACTTATGGAAACAACCAAGACGCCCCACTACTGACGAATGGATTAAGAAAATGTGGTATTTATACACAATGGAATTCTACTCAACCATGAAGAAGAATGAAATCTTATCATTCACAAGTAAATGGATGGAACTGGAGAACATCAATGTGAGCAAGGTTAGCCAGGCTCAGAAGACCAAAAATTGTATGTTCTCCCTCATGTGCAGACTTTAGATCAAGGGCAAATACAGCAATATTGTAGGAATTGGGTCACATGACAAGGGGACAGCACATACAGGAGGTATGGGGATAGGTAAGAAACCCAAAAAATAATGATAGTATTTGATGTCCTTAATGCAGAGGAACTAATGCAGGAACTTTAAAGCAACAGAGGCCAATAGGAGAAGGGGATCAGGAACTAGAGAAAAGGTTAGTTCAAGAAGAATCAACTTAGAATGGAGCACATTTGTACATGGAAGCAATGTTAGGAATCTCTCTGTATAGCTATCCTTACTCAACTAGCAAAAATGCTTTGTCTTTCCTATTATTGCTTATGTCTTCTCTTCAACAAAATTAGAGATAAGGGCAGAACAGGTTCTGCCTGGAAGCGAGGTGTGGTGGGGAGGAGAGGGAGGGGGCAGGAGGTAGGGGAGAGAAATGACCCAAACAATATATGCACATATGAATAAATGAAAAAAGAGAGAAAGTAAACTAGTCCCATTCCCAAATAACAAAAGTTGAGGGAGTTTATTACCATTACACCAGCCTTACAAGTAATGTTAAAGGGAAATGAAATGAAAGGACCCTAGATTAACTAAGAGCCACATGAAGAAATAGAAGTCCCCAGAAAAAGTAAATACATGGGCAAATACAAAGCCCAATATTATTGAATTCTTGACTTATAACTCTACTTTTTTTAAACAGAACTTAAAATGTAAACACATAAAAATAATTATAAATCAATGTTATTAAGCACACTGTCTAATGATGTAATTTTTGACAGTAACAATATAAGGCAATTTAGGTATCCCACTGATGTTAGATTGGTACCTATTTGAACTACACTGTTATAAACTTAAGATATTAAGAAGCTGGATGCACTGGCTCATGCCTATAATTCCAGCTATTCAGGAAGCAGAGATCAAGAAGATCATGTTTCAAGGCCAACCCAGGCAAAAGGTTGGCAAGACCCCATCTTAATCAACAAGTTGGGTGCAGTGGTTCATGCCTATCCTCCCAGCTATGTAGGAAGCTAGGAGGACTGCAGACTGAAGCTGACCCTGGGCAAAAAATGTGAGACCCTATCTGAAAAATAAATTTAAAATAAAAGCAAAATAAAAGGACTGGGGGGTGTGCCTACCTAGTAAGCATGAGACCCTAAAATTCAAAACCCCAGTACTACCAAAATAAAATAATAAAATTAATTTAATTTAAATAAATAAACAATAGTAATTCTTTTTTTTTTGGCTTACTTGGATTTGAACTCAGGGCCTCACACTTGCTAAGCATGCACACTACCTCTTGAACCATGCCTCCAGCCCAATAAACAAATAATAGAAGAACCATGCTGCTGACAACAAAAAGAAAAACTTACCCAACAGCCAAGGTTACCAGTGTACTAAAGAAATTAATGAATCCTTTCTTTTGCCTGCTTGTTTGAGTCTCACTCCCTTTGGAGTTTGAAGCTAACAGTGGTGTCATGAAACTGCCATCTTCATCTCGACCTGGAACCCCTGATGTTAGGAAGACTGTATTGCCTGACTTAGAACTGAGAACTAAGTCAGGAGCCTCTGAAGCCAACTGTTATTTTTGTAGACCAGGACACTGGAGACTTAGGCTGGCAAATGATAATCATCATTATTGTCTTCCCTGGGTGGGGAATGCCACCAAGTGTGGGAGAAGGGGGTTCCCTCAGCTTCCTAGTTTGCATGCAAAATCACCAAAACTTGAGATTCACACTTGAAAAGCATTTCAAGGTGTCTCACAACAAGGAGTTGCAGGAGGTAGGAGTTTTCACAAGGATTTATTTTACCCAGATAAAGCAGGGAGAAGTGGGAGAAAAGAGGAAAAACATTTCCTGGCCCCATGCAGAAAATGGAGTAAAGTCTCAAAATGAGCCCACGCCAATGGCTCACACCTGTAATCCTAACTACTCAGGAGGCAGATATCAGGAGGATCGAGGTTTGAAGCCAGCCTGGGCAAATAGTTGGCAATGACCCTCTCTTGGAAAAAAAAAAAAAATCACAAAAAAAGGGCTGGTGGAGTTGCTCAAGGTGTAGGCCTGAGTTCAAACTCCAGCACCAAAAAAATAATAATAAAAAGACGCAAAAACGATGGTTCTAACCACACGTGGTCACGTCTACTAGCAATCCCTAATCATTACACAATGCATCTGGGTGCTCAAGATGTGGGCTGCTTATTATTTAAAAACATGGAGATGTGATCTAGACTTACCCCAAAATACAAGAACATCAGATAAATTTTAGAATTTCCCTTTGCCACACATCTTTCATTTTCTTGTCTCTCTACCCATTTAAGGAGCCTTGCAGCTTTTTTTTTTTACATCCCAAAGGGGAAAGCAAATCTCTCTATTTTTGTAACTTAACATCTAAAAGGAGAAGGTGATGGGAGAGGAGCTTCCTGCTCCCCCCCCCCTTTTTTTTTTCCTTTAACTGTTTTTAATATCTGAGTGTGACCCTTTTAATATTCATTTAAAATAATATGATTTGCCTATCTCCTCATCTACCCAGCCTATGGAAGAATGTAGGTGAAGGGTTTGTAGGTGGAGGGTTTGGGGAGCCCATACGGACTGTAAAAGGGAAAGGCTAGGGTGAAGTCTTGGGGTCCCCTAAGATAGCAAGCCGAGGGATGAGGAGGTGGTAACCCTGCAGATCCCAAGAACTGGAGCCTGCCCCAGCCTCTGCTCCCGGAACACAGCAACCTCGGAACTCGCGGGCACGAACCTGCGGGTATCGGAAGGCAAACGCTAGCACGCCAGCCGCGGGACACCAGAAGCGGCCGGACCGGAAGTAGGGGCTGCAGGAGGCCGCCCCGAGCCAAGGCGGGATCGGGAGCCTCGGTGGGGCTGTGGGCTTTCCCGTGGACGCGGAAAGCGCGGGTCCTTCTCCAGGCGTGTTTCCCAAATAGTAGCGGGGTGCAGACCCAGGTCGGGGTGCGGACTTGGGGAAGAGTCCGGGGTGGCTCTGCGTCCCTACCACCTCGCAGCCAGCGTGACCCTCTCCGCCGAGCTTGCTGCGGGAACTCGGGGAGGTGGTGGTAGGCCGACTCTTGGCCCGTGTCTGGAGGGAGCATGCACTGCTGTTAAGACTCTTCTTCATCGGACCCTCCCACGGCTCGTTGAGGTGAGGTCTGTTTTCCCAGTCTCACAGGTAGGGAAGGCTGGACAGCTGTCTGAAGTCCAGGTCAGCACTGTCATCGCCAGTCAGGTTCCACCCACGCCTCCTGGGCTCCGTCTTGAGGACATCCCGGTTCTCAGATTTGTGCTCTGTAGATTAGGGAGAAAACTTGTGAGCAAATTATCTGGAATTAAGGTACAGTAACTTCTAGCAGAAGTGAAAGGGAAGATGATGGTCTTTTCTTCCCTGTCACCTGAAAACAGGACTGGGAGAGGCCAGCCCAACTAGGCTTGATGTCCAGTGAGCACTGGGATTCCTTTACCAAGGTCACCTGTCAATAGTCTGAATTATTCTGAGCCTCAGTTTACTCATGGTTTAAAAAAAAATTACACCTGCTTTCTAGAGCTGTTAGTAGATTGAATAAAGCAGTATTTGTGGCAATAGCCTGCCTAACACCGAGGAGGAGCTCAAGAACTGGCGATTGTTTTCCTGATTCTGTGGGCATTTGGTAAAGTTACTGAAGTGAGAAATCCTAGGATTCTCAATGCTGTTCAGACACTCTCTAGGCCTCCCCTGAACACTAAATCCACTGCTCCTAAGACACTGACATGAAAGGAAATCTCTATATTTATAATGTCTCTCAAAGGTTGTTTCGACTGGGTTTGGGAGTGAGAGTTGACCGTATGCTACTCAGGCTACTCTGCTACTCCATTTTTAACTCACCTTCATTCTTCCTAATTACAGTTCCAACTTGGGTGTTTTTGGCACCTGGTTAGCACTTGCTTATCTGCCTGGAATAGAACAAACTGCAGTCTCAGATGTTTTCCTGGCAACAAGATAGGACTTGATGTAACATGTAGGTTCCTATAAAGAGCCTGTATATTGCTGGGCATTGTTGGCTCATGTCTGTAATCCTAGCTACTTGGGAGGATTAGATCCCGGGGAAATCAAGGTTTGAGGCCAGCTAGAGCAAATCATTCTTGAAACCCCCATCTCCTATTTTGGAGATGAGAGGCTGAGATCAGAAGGACTGAATTTCAAGACACAGTCCAGGGAAATAGTTCGGAAGACTCCAACTCCGAATAACCAGAGTAAAATGGACTTGAGGTGTGGCTCAAGCTATAGAATGCCTGCTTTGCAAGCACAGAGTTCAAACTCTGTTCTCACAAAAAAAAAAAAAGAGCCTATATATTAAAGCTTTTTAAATGCAAAAAATTAAGTGGATAGTAATGCTCATAAGTCAACAATGTGAAGATAGTGTCATTTGTGAAAGCTAGGGGAAACAAAACAACTAAGGTCATGAAAGTAAAAGGGGGGATTAGTAGGGAGTGGAAGGGAAAAGGGGAGGTAGGAGTAATAGAGGAGGTGAGTATGATCAAAGTACAAGCATGCATGTATAAGTGATCCATTACATTCAGGTTTACTCATTGGTTTCCATTTTGAAATGGGAGATGTGAGTTAATAGAAAAATAGGAATCACTGAAGATAATCACAAAATTAATCACAGTTAAGACTGCAGAAATCTCTTAAGAAATAGAACCTGGTGCAGGTAAAGAAATGTGTACTGGGCTGAAAGTAAGAAAGCATGAGTTTTGACCCACCGTAACAAACTTCATAGGTAATGTTTGGTAAATCATTTTCTCTGAGACTTCCTTGTCTTCCTTGTGATAGTTGGACCAGATGACCACCAAGGCCCCTTTTCCAGGATTCCATATTCTTAAAGGAAAGGATGTTTGTTTGTTTGAAACAGGCTCTCACTATGCAGTAGCCCAGGCTGGCCCTGAACTCATGCTCCTCTTGCCTCAGCCTCCTGAGTACTGGGACTACAAATGTGCCCCACAATTCCCAGCACTAGGAAGAGACTTCCCCCCTCAATAAAACAGTGATACTCAGAACATTACAGAGTCCTCATGCAGTACTGAAATATAAAATGTTGAACTAAAACTTTTTTTTTTTTTTTGCACAGAGTATTGAACTCAGGGCCTCACACTTGTGAGACAGGTGTTCTACCACTTGAGCCACACCACCAGCCCTGTTTCCTTTCTCTTTTGGGATAGCATCTTAATTTTTTTCTCTGGGTTGGCCTGGACCTTGAGCCTCCTGTTTGTGCTAACCATGTAGCTAGTATGACAGGTGTACCACTACACCCAGCTGTTGGTTGAAATGGGGATCTCACTAACTTTTCGCCTGGGCTGACCTCAAACTGCAGTCTTCCTGATCTCTGTTTCCCAAGTAGCTGGGATTGCAGGCGTAAGCCACTATACCTGGCTAGAACTTGATTTCTTTAGAATTAAAGCTACCTAAGGCAGGTGCATATCCAGCATAAATAGCAGTTGTACAGTCTGACAGGTGGATAAGCAGTCTGAAATTGGGATGTGTCACATGCTTTTGTGGGTACTGCCAAATTTTATCCCTTTTCCTGGATAAATGAGGTAAACCCTTTAAGACACTAAGGCAAAATGTTTCTCTCTGAAGAGATTTGTCAATCTGATAGTTATTTGTTGAAAAACCTCCGATCTTAGGTGTGAAAGGGAGTAGTGGAGATGTAAAATTCCCAGAACTTTAACACCATGGGGAAAAGAACATTGAAAAGCACAGTGTTTGCAGTATACTTGTGGACTTACAGTCAGTTTTTAAATTTTAGAGCTCTAAAAGCATTTTATTATATACAGGGAAAATAACTTTTATATATCCAGGCATTTATTTAATCATTGTTTGTTCACCATCTACTACTTACCACTAGAATGAACCAGGCAAAACCCTGCTCTCCCGAAACTTAATTTTTTTGTTCCAAGAGCTGTAAGACAAGAACCTAATAAGTAGAATCTCTATCAGGTTTAGTGATAAGTGAAACAGGGCTGCTGTTCCATTCAGGATTCTCATAGAGGCAGACAGGATAAAGGTTCAGGTTCTAGAGCAAACAGATCCAGCTTCAGGTCCAAGTGCTACCACTTGAACTCTGGTTTTCCTAATCCTGCATTCCCATTATAGGGAACTGCAGTGGCAGCACCTCCTCCCAAGGACACTGGCAGGACTTCCAGGTACCAAGCATATCTTCACTATACCACACTGCTGGCTACCGCAACAAAGACATGAGAAAAATCTGAGGGACTGCTTTAGGACAAAACTTTTTCCTACTTTGAAAGAGGCAGGAAACAAACACCTTCACAGAGAGATTTCCCTCCACTGCCAGTTTTCCCTTCTGGCCTCTGGCTTCTTTGACAGGAAGACGAGGGAATCCCTGGGTCTGTTTTAAACCTCATTTATGAGCCTCTGACTTTCATAAAACCAAAACTTCCTCAGAATGGAGAGCAGAGTCATAGTTGCTCCAATCATTCATTCATTGAACAAACATTCAGATTGCACTGGCTGCTGGAGAGAGACACAGCAGTGAAATAGACACAACTCATGTGGGAGACAAACCTGTAGCCCCAGGTGCAGTTTTCAGGATGGGAGGGACAGGAAGTCAGAGCAAGTGGACTAATGGGAAAAGTTTTATTCTGGAGAAGATTTAATTTCACTGTGGTCCTAAATCAAGGGCTGGGGTTAACAGCCCAGGGCAGACCTCGGGCTGTATCTGCACATAATGAGGAGTAACAGAAAAGCCCCTTAGTGAAGGGAGATTCATTGGTATCCTTTCTGAACAATGCCCTTTCTGGCCCTCTTAGTTTTCTGGTTTGATTTTATTTTTAAATCCATTGTCTTTGTTCTTTTGATCGGTCAACATATATGCACAGCACCAAATGTACAAGGTACAGAAAGGACTGGTGAGCAGAAGGCTCCCCACCCCTGACCTTCAGACTCTAATACCCGCTTTTCCAGGCTACTGCTTCTAAGTTCCACCCAGACACATCTTCCTTTTGTAAGTAGGCATGTGCCCATGTTCACCATCTACAGAGATCACAGGTGGCAGCAGTGCTCCTACATAGCGGTTGAATGCCTAGTTTTCCTTATAAGAGTGATCGTAGCAATCTGATTCACATTAGTATTTACAGGGCAGATTTATTCCTTTTTTACTGCTGTGGGTACTCATTGTAAACTGCTAATTTTATAGATATGTGATACTTTTATTTAACCAGTTCCCTGTTGACATATACTAGGTCATTTCTAATATTTTGTTTGGAGTGCTGGGGATGGAACCCAGGGTCTCACGCATGCTAGGCAAGTGCTCTACCATAAAGCTACACCCCAGCTCATTTCTAATCTTTTGTTATGAATGATAATGCTGCAGAGAATTCCTAATGGTGTATTTTGTCATAAGTGGTGCCTTTTCCAGCCTCGTCACTGTCTTGCCTCTCAGCAACTCATTGTCCACATGGACAGTCTCACTAGCACCTACCACTCACTTTCTCTAGTCAGCACTCAGTGCCCAAGCCCCTCCGTAATACCCACTCAAGCATCTTTTCACTTGACAGTTGCTTCCTCTGACTCCCACTCCCCTCCCTAGTACCTTGCTTCCTACAGTTCTTAGAGCCTATAGAGCACAGATGGTATAGACCTTCACCATGCACTCTCCTCCCTGCTTTCCCTCCTTAGAGTCAGGTCTCTTGTGACCATGCACCATCAACCCCTGCCCTCTCCTCTCATACTCACCTGGAAGATCTTAACTAAATCCCAGGCTTCCCTGCTGTGAGTCTACCCCAGTGCCACCTCCTGTCCTCTCTCTACTTCCTCCTACACAATCCTGTCTTACCCCCACACTGACTGGACACCACTGCCCTCCTCCTGTCCGCTGCTTTGGCTGATGGCCTCTCACCCCTTCACCCACTCCAGCAGGTCCCTCCTCTTGCATCTTTTTCCTTGTTTACTGAACCATTGGACAAACATAGTGTCATGTCCTTCTTTAAGCAAAATGGAGAAGTGTGCTGTCCCCTCTACTTTCCTGGGCTTTCTTGAACTTACCCCACTCATATATCACCTCTGTTTCTCAACAAATGGTTCCCATCAAGGTCAGGTGATGTCACTCAAATTGACCATGGTCAGGTCTTAGCTGCCACATCACTAAGCTTGTTTTTGACATGGCAGTGGTTCCTCTGAAGTGCTCTTTCTCTTGCTTTTCAGGGCTCTTCATCTCTCCTACCCCCAGCCTGGGATCCTCCCACATTCTCACTGCTGCTGCTTCCTTCACAGTCACCTACCTGGTCTGTCATGCAGGCAGGTCATACTTAACTAACTAACACACTGTTCCTGAGTCCTTGTCCCAGACTGCTTCCTTGGTGTTTCTCCATAAGAATTGCTTCTTTAGTTTTCTAAGCCAAAAGTCTGGGATCATTCATTCTGTCCCTCATCCCATATCCCACCCATCCCAGTTTTGTCCAGACTCCGACTTGCCCCTAGGGCCCAGTTATTCCCTTCTTCACACAGGGTCCCTTTCACACTTGAGGTCAGATCACCCCCACTCCTGGGCTAGCCCTCCCAATTCCTCATTGGCCTCCTCACTGTCCCTCTGACGTGCCCACCCATCTCTCTCGGAGCCTTACCTTCCCTGATCCTTCTGCCTAAAACTCCTATCCCAGATACTCCTAGTCTTGACTGTCCCTTCCCTTCCCACCTGTGAATGCCCCAGACCCCCAGGAAAACAGGATCTAGTGTTGCTCTGTGCCTTATCTCCTGCACCCAGGACTGAGCCAAGCATATGGTTGGGTACTCAATAAATAGCTGGAGTAATTGAGTTCATTCCTAGAAGTGGGAATGTGCACTTGTAGTTTTCAGAGGTATTGTCAGACTGTTCCATGTGGAGACCACTCTGATTTAGCTGCCTCCACACCTTCATCAGGTACATGCTCAGACTTTGGGTTGGGTCTTTGCTGTGGCTTAGCTTTCTTTAATGAGTATTGTTGGACATCATATCACAAGGTTCTAATTGTCTTATTGTGTAACTCCTAAAAATAGGAAAACAGCAATCCAACTGAAAAAGACTGGGTGAAAATGTAAACAAACAGTTGACACAAAAGGAAAACAGATATTTTTTAATGTGCTTCTGAGTTTTCAGGATGTGGGGGTTTTTTCCTTCATACTGAGATTACTTAAATTTCACACTTTCTTGTATTTTTCTGATTGCAGTTTTTACTTAGATCTTTGCTGGATCTGGAACCTGTGCTGGTGGAAGTTACAAGGTATGTGAGGTATGAGTCGAACTTTTATCTTTTTCCCAAGGTTGCGCAGTTGTGTCAATATAAGTCTTTGGGTTTTGTTTTTTCTTTTAAATACATACAATGCTATATTTATAAATATCAATTCTATATAAGGATTGAAAAGATAGAAAGAGGGGCTAACGGTGTAGCTCAGTGGTAGAGGACTTGCCTAGCATGCACAGGGCCCTGGGTTTAATACCCAACACTGTGGGGAGAAAAAAAGGAAAAAAAAAGGAGGGTTCATGTGTGATGTTTGTTTGTTCATTCTCATCCAGCAGATATTAAGTGATATATCAGGTTCAGAAAGCTATGGCAGATGCCAGCAGTGATTCAGGCATGTAATCTCCCATGTCCTCTTAGGAAACAAGTGGTAACTGACCATGGCGCTACGTATGATGAGCTAAGATACAAGTCTAGCCCAAGAGCCACAAGGCACAGGAAGAAACAATTCATCTTGTCAATGAGTGCTGGAAGAGCTCTTCCAAAAAGACTTCCATAGGACGGGGATGTGACTCAGTGACAGACTGCTCGCCTAGCTTGTGCAAAGCCCTGAGTTCAATCTCTAGTACCACCAAAAAAATAAAATAAAAAAAGAATTCAAGCCAGAGGTGTAACTCAGTGGCAGAACATTTGCCTGGCATACTCAAAGCCCTGGGTTTTATCTCCAGCACCAAAAATAAGTAAAATAACAGAGTTCACATTTAGCTGGGCCTGTGAACTGTCAGACTGCTTTCTCCATGCTTGACAGGACATTCCACACAAGGGAACACAGGCATAGAGATTCCAAATTGATTTTTTTTTCTTTAGATGATGGGGTCCAATTTGGCAAAGATGACAGGTGGTGGGAAAGTAGATGTGAAGAGCTTCTTGAGCTAGTGGGTCTTAGGCCCTATCATGAATCAGTAGTAACTGGAGAGTCTGGCCTGGGCATCTGCATTTTGTGAAGTGCGTCCCTTAGCAGCCACTGCTCAGCCAAGGTGGAGGTGCCACTCTCCATCTGGGAGCAAACAAAACTGATGCATGGGAGGAGAGGACGTGATTGTTCCTCTCCCCTCCAAGACATGAGTGCCCTGGCAGAAGAGCCAGGCATCCACCCTGCCGCAGCCTGTGAATCCAGGTCTGTAGGTTCCAGCATCTTCCTAGGTGTGGATTTATCAATCAAATTGCCCTGGGGCTATTTCAGCTTCCCCCACCTGAAGCCAAATTTCTGCTTCCTTTGGCATGGACAGTTGTTTATACACCAGATGTCTTCTTGTTTCCCTAACTTTTCTTTCCCTTGCCTCGGGTTTTTTTATATTTTGATTTATTTTTCAAAAGTTTCCAAAAGTTCAAAAGTTTCCAGCTCAGTAGTATAGCATTTTCCTCATAGGCTCGAGGCCCTGGGTTCAATCCCAGCAAAAAAAAAAGAAAAGAAAAAGAAAGAAAGGAAAGAAAAGAAAAGGTAAGTTTCCTTATTAGTGGAATAGGCCTGTTAGAAGCATTACTATTTTCTGAGTGTTTTTCTTCCCTTTAGGAGTCAGTGTTGACAATTGTACTGAGCCACAGAAGAGCAGTTTCTGAACTTTGTCATTGCTGTTGTCCTGAATCTGGGTGTGAAGAGCTGAGGGGCCCTGACATTGGAGCCAGGATGAAGACTGTACTCATGGTTGCAGAGAAACCATCCCTAGCTCAGTCCATTGCCAAAATCCTCTCCCGAGGTAGGAAAGACCAACACTAAAATCTGTTGCCTTTGACTGTAAGCACAGTTATTCTTACTTTTAGGGTGTTTCTTTCTTTTTCCAAGGTGTGATTCCACCCTCACTGAGGTAGGCTCAGGTCGAGTCTGCAGGCATTAATGAAGTAGTTTTAGTAGTAGGCATACTATGATGTGTTTGCTTCCATACCCGTTGTGCATCAGGATTGTTGCTTCCAGAAAGACCAGGGCATAGTGAGGAAGAAATTGCAGTCATTGTCAGACGTCTGGGCCAATCAAGGACATTGACCATTGATCACAAGCAACAGAAAAACCCTAAGAAGGAGGTAGACACAGCAGGAATACACCTCAGTCTAAGTCTAAGAAGGCCATGCCATGGGCATCGTCACTGCTGGATACCTGCCATTGCTGCTGGGCCCTTGACTTGGTTGCAGATGCAACCCCTGCACCCCATGTCCCTCAAGAATGGCTGATACGGGCTGAGCCTTGGCAACAGTCCTCCAGCAACATCAAGGAGGTCGAGGAGACCACCTACCTCTGTGCCCTGCTCTAGCTACTGAACCAGTAGCCTATCTTTGAATTCCTATCTTTGAATTCCCTTTAAATAGGAAGAGTATTTGGAAGCTGGGTACCCAGCAATGATAGACATCCACCTTGATCTCCAGCACTCAAGGGAGTAAGAGCCCCTAGTACAACTAAGAAGGTGTGGGCCAAAAGTCTAAAGGGATCCAGGAGATGGCATCATCCTTCAAGGCTGATGGCTCTCAGGCCGTCAGTGGACAGTGTGAAATGACACTAGAGGGAGAGTTGATAATCAGGAGGTCTGTGGTGACCTTAGAATAAAGTTTGAATAAAATGAGGCAGAAGTTGAAAAGTGAAAAGCAGACATGCAAATAAAGGGCCTGAGAGTGTCCACCTGTGGCTCTCAGCCAACCTGGGCATCTGCATCATGAGCCACGGTGTTAGCTGTTTACAGATGCTTTTGTCCCTGAGCAGCACTAAACCGCTCAGTACCTAGTCACCTGCGGTGACCTGAGGAATGTTATCACTGCCTGTTCTGGGAAAGATAATTCTAGCCCTCTGAGAACTGGTGGCCTTTGGCCTCAGGGTCTCCACAGCTCAGCCACAGCAACTATTTATGTGTTTCTCCTACTCAGGCAACATGTCCTCGCACAAAGGGCTGAATGGGGCATGCTCAGTTCATGAGTACACAGGAACCTTCACTGGCCAGCAGGTCCGATTCAAGATGACATCTGTCTGTGGTCACGTGATGACTCTGGATTTCCTGGGTGAGACCCCACCCAACCTGCCTCTACCCTGCCAAGGGGACCAGACATAGCTCTACCCAGGGTCCAGTTAGAGCCTACCTCCAGCAGCTCATGGAGTAGGGACTGGGAATTCTTCAGGTGAGGTGCCTACCCATTGCTACATGATGGTATCCTACCATCTTCCCAGAATTGTGACAGTTGCAGAGGTCTGGCCTTTGGAACTTGAAGTGTGACTCATTGTCACCATAGTTGTGGTTTGCTGGAAAATACAAGTGGGACAAGGTGAACTCTGCAGATTTTGGAGCTTGGCACCCCTGCATCAGCATCCCAGCAGCACTCCTTAGACATTGCATGTTCTGTGTGCCTTACCATTTATATAATGTGGTATATACTTCAGGACGGGCCTGGCCCATGCAGGTATTCAGAAGAGAGCTTGCTGAACTGACTGTTTCCATCAGTCACTTGGTGGCTGTCATTATCATCTTTATGCCATTATTATCCATTTCCTTAGGAAGGCCAGCATTCCCAAGACTAGAGAGTCCAACAGGGCTCTGACTTGCTGTAGTAGTGTGTTTTGCAGAATGTCTGGTACAGGCTAACTTTCTAAAGAAAGCACCATAGTGCTGGGGACTAAAAGTCCAAACAGCATAGCACTAGGTCTGGTGAGGATGTGGCAGATCACAGTGTCAAAAGTGCGCTCAAGAGGCACTTGGTGAGGCAGGGAGCAGAGGGAGATTTAGGAGTAGCTTTGTTCTTATAACAACTTGCTCTCACAAAAACGACCTCAATCCCTTCTGAGGACAGTGTCTTCAGTGACCTAACCATCTCCCACTAGCCTTTGCTTCTTAAAAGTTCTATACCATTTCCCAATACTACCACCCCTATGGTCAAGTTTCAAACATATGAGCCCTCTCAGACCCTCAGGCCACAGCCCCCATGCTTCGCCAGCTCTGTGACTGAGGACTGGAACTGTCCCTGGGCGTGTGTGAGTTGTCATTTCTCATATGCGAAATGAACAATGATGTCATCCATTTCCCAGGATTGCTGACAAAGAAGGCAGAGACAGACACAACACCAAACCTGGTACAAGGCAAAGGCTCAATAGTTTTTCTTGCTGCTCGTGAGGATAGCAGTGATAACGAGAGTGACTAAGTTGTACAGCCAAGCATTTGAACCCTAGGCTTTATCTCCAGCCAGTAGGTGGGGAGCCAAGAGTTCAACTTGGCTCCATTTGACCTCACTCTCCCAGGATGCAAGAAATGGGGCCTAAAAGAAAGCTAGATGGCTGAGCATAAAAGATCCATAGAGAAGTAGGTTAGAGGTACTGAACACGAGGCCCAGAGAAACTGACCCTCCAAGAGAAACAACTTAGTTTCTGCTGTGTGCTGTGTGAAGGCAGAGGGTTACAGAAATCCAGGAAATGATAGCATGAGTGGTGTGTTACAAGGCTTTGACAAAGCAAGCAGTCTTAAGGAATGGTGTTGCCAGCCACAGGGAAAATCCTGGAAGCAAGGCCAGAGCAGCATCCCTGTTGAGAGTTTGCTTGGTTCCTATGGGTGGCTGAGACATGGCATCAACCTAACAGCCCAGAAGGAAGGACAAGTGGGTGGGGGTTACCCAATAAACGCACATCCAAGTGCTGCCTCCGATACCTGGTGACCCTGGGTCAGTTGTTTTCCAAATCTCCTCCTCACATGTGCCATAAGACTACTGTCCTTCTGGGGTTATGACAGCTGTGGAGGCCGAGCCTTTGTGGCTATGAAGTGTGATCCAGTGTCACTGACTGTGGTTTGTAGGAAAGTACAACAAGTGGGACAAGGTGGACCCTGCAGAGCTGTTCAGCCAAGCTCCCACAGAGAAGAAAGAAGCTAACCCCAAGCTGAATATGGTGAAGTTCCTGCAGGTATGTGAGAGGTTTTTTCCCCATTTTAAAACAAATGCACACATATTATGAAAAAATAGAGAAAAATATAGATAAATATAAAGGAGAAAAAATTATTTTAACCACATGACCCAAGATAACCACTGTTAACATTTAGGATTATTTCATTTCAACTCTAGTACTATTTAGTTTTTAGCATTAAGAGCATACTGCAGGAAGAGGAAGGGAAGCAGCAGGAGTGAGGTAAAGAGATGGTAATAGGGGAGCGAATATGATCAAAGTACATTATATGCATGTATGAAAATGTCACCAGAAACTCAGTAACTCCTCCTCAATCTTCTGTCGACCTCTACATGTTATAGAGTATGTGCCATATTCTGTGACCATGTAATTAAAGTAGAAATAAACAACAAAAAAGATCATATTACAATTATAATTTGGGAGCTGGAGGGTCAAAAAAACAGCAGTTTTCTACTTAGGAGACAGAGATAAGGAGGATCGCAGTTTAAAGCCAGCCTGTGCAAGTAGTTCAAGAGATCCTATCTCAAAAATATCCAACACAAAAAAGGGCTGGTGAAGTGACTCAAGTGGTAGACCATCTGCCTAGCAAGTGCGAGGCCCTGAGTTCAAACCCTAGTACTGCCAAAAAGAAATAAATAACAGCAATTCTGAACCAAATTCATTACTGAGTGGCTGAGCAAGTCTTACTGCAGTTAGCTCCTTGCTTAGCCCTGGCACCAGTCCTAACCACGGGTCAGGCCTCTAGGACCCAGGCCTTAACCTCCTTCCTGTCCCCGCAGGGAGAGTAGCAGGACTGGGCTATGTAAACGCATGTTGATGTTTTCTGTGTGGCAGGTGGAGGGCAGAGGATGTGACTACATTGTTCTGTGGCTAGACTGTGACAAGGAAGGGGAGAACATTTGCTTTGAGGTGAGTGCAGCACCCACTTTGGTTCACTTTGTACTTTCTGCCACCTGTTCTAACTGACATTCATAGTCACACCATCCCTGAGGCCAAAGTGAGAAGTATAGTGGTTTAGAAATGCCTTTCCCTATGTCCTTTATTTTGGAAGTCCTATAAATACTCTTAAACACTTGCTGGGTGTACATGGTACAAGCAAGCGTAAGAAAGGGCAGAACTTTCTAGGTGGATGCAAGTTTCAGAATAGAGCAAAGTGGTGCTCCGTGTCCTGGGCCCAGCTCAGTGGCTATCAGGAACCTTCAGTTGATGTGGTTGACCAGCCTGATCTTACATTCTTTTCCCAAGCCTCATTCTTCTCACTTCCTACCTTCACACATCCTCTGCCCCCCTCAAAAACCCTCCACCTCCCACCACCCCAGCCCAGGAGCCCTCCTGCAGAGAAGTAGGTGGCAGCTCCCCATGCCCCTGCCTCGTGCTTACCTTGGAAATGGCACCCTCATGCTGCTGGTTGTGGCTGCTGGGCTCACTGGTGCCCTTATGCTGTGGCTTTATACAGGTTCCTTCAGTATCCCTGTATACCACCTGACCCACCTCAGGTGGTATAGGTGCAGAAGATAGCTCCAGTGACACAGGAGCTTGGGGCACCTGACATTCCTGTGTACCATCCTTAACAAACCCAATTTCATATGTACTTGGCACCCTCCTCAACCCCTCCCCACAGGGCTGCCCTTCCCAGGGGCCTTTGCATCTGCTCATGGATCTTCTCCCTTCACAAACAAAGCCCCACATACCCTATCAGGACACTGCTTAGCCAGACTCCAGTAGCGACTTCCCTCTCCCTGCACTGCCTTCCTAGTGAGTCTCAACTCCAGAACCCCACCAAGCCAGGTCCCACCCACAAGCTGGGCACACCTGAAGCCTTCCTACTCTTGCCATTTCGACTTCCTTTTCATTCATTTTTCCTTTTCCGTGTTTCCTCCAGTCACTTAAAAGTTCCACCCACTTCTCACAGTACTGCCCCCTTCCAAGACGGGAAGCAGGCCAAGTCAAGTAGATTTGAGACCCATGCAGTCCTTCCAGTTTTTGGCAGTAGCATTTCCTGGTTGGGTGGGGATGAGAGCAGAAAAGAAGAGGAGGGAGGGCAGCACTTGCAGGGCAGCTGTAAAAAGGGGGGATGTGGGCATGTTTGTAGCCAGAAGGAAAGGAACAATGTGGCAAGGGTTTTGTGGAGTAACTGAGGCTTCTGGAAAGGCAGAGAGAGATGGAGGAGGGTCTGGTAGGGGTGAGAGAGGTGTCTCATTCAGGCCTGACAGTGGAAGTATGGAGCAGGAGGCAGAGATCACAACTGGGAGTCAATCACAACTGGGCTGGGAGTCAATCACAACTGGGCTGCCTTCCTCTCAGGTCCTTGATGCTGTTCTGCCTGTCATGAATAAGGCCCACAGTGGTGAGAAGACAGTGTTCCGGGCCAGGTTCAGCTCTATCACTGACACAGACATCTGTAATGCCATGGCCCGCCTGGGTGAGCCAGATCACAATGAAGCGCTCTCAGTGGATGCCCGCCAGGAGCTGGACCTGCGCATTGGCTGTGCTTTCACCAGGTGCTGTGTGCACACACATACACACACCCCCAACCTGCAGCCAGAAGGTCTGCGTTTGTGGTCCCTGGGCCTCTGGGAGCCCAAATAAGCAATAGGCAATGTTCACATTTTTTAAACGCTGATGAAAATTCCATACATAAATCATACCGACTACCACTTAAACTGTGATCATCCACCCTCGGGGTCCTGAGAACAGTGTGCAGTGGATGGAATGTAATAGAAGAACTCCCTGGTCTGAGACATAAGAGCCGCTCTCTCCCTCACTCACTTGCTCCATCACATGCACACACACAACTCCTCTGTGACAGCCACACACTTGGCCACTTAGGATGACTTCTAAGTGGGGGCAGCCACCTTATGCCACCTCTCTGCACATGGCTCAACTCAAAACTGGACTTCACAGGGGTGGAATGCCAGTGTCGAATGAATTCTAGGACAGCTATCTTTCTCTCTCCCACCCTACCACTCCCTCTAGGTTTCAGACGAAGTATTTCCAAGGGAAATATGGCGATTTAGACAGTTCTCTCATCTCCTTTGGGCCATGTCAGACTCCTACCCTGGGATTCTGCGTGGAGAGACATGATAAAATCCAGTCCTTCAAACCAGAGACCTACTGGGTGCTACAGGCCAAGGTTCTTTTCCCTTCTCTCTTACCACTGTGTGGATCCAGGTTGGGATGTGGGTTCTGAGCATTTTCCTCCATTATGGTCATTGTCTCATCATGGGTCTCAGCCCCAGCTAAGAGTACACATGTGAATAGCTGCACCCATGAGGGTCTTTGATGCTCAGGAGAAGAGCCCCAGCCTTCAGGGGTGGGGGTGGGGCTAGGCTGGACCTGGATGTAGATTGGAGAGGTGGGAATGAGTTCCACTCTGGTTGTACAGGGTAAAGTCATCCCTCAGGGGCCACTGGCTACAGTGGTCAAGTACAAGCCCTAGACTGAGGCAATGGCCTTTCAAATTTTTGGAAGTCTGTAGAGCTTTTTTTTTTGAGTGAAAGCTTTCTGAAGTGTGACATAAGATTTAAAACATAACACAGAGTTGCTCTGGTTGACCTAGAGCTGGTAATGTGGGCAGGGGGAGAGGGGGAAGAGGACACTCCTAGGTACTGGCAGTGAGCAGGGATGCAGGGAGGGGTAGAGGCTCAGATGCTTCTTAAGGACACAGCCTCAGCTCCAGACCACTGGCTGAGACCACCTGCCTGAATTCTCACAGAGGGGAATGGTTGGGTGCCAGTTTGGGTATCATAGGTGCAGCTATGAGATGTTAGAGCTGGGACTATTTTGCTCCAAGACAAAGATCAGCTTCCTCTGCCTCAATTCTCTTCTCTGGCAGTGGGCTCACCTGGAAACTTCTCCCATGTTCTCTTTTTATTATTCCTGCAGGTTAATGTTGATAAAGACAAATTTCTCCTTTTGGACTGGGACCGAGTGAGAGTGTTTGACCGGGAGATCGCACAGATGTTTTTAAACATGACAAAGCTGGAAAAGGAAGCCCAGGTGCACCTGCTCTGCCCACACCCATCACACTTGACTTGGGTGGAAGTCTCCCTCAAGCATCTGGCAAGAGGATAGGCTACATCTTTCTTCCTCCCTTCTGAAACACAGATATCTTTTTTGGAAAAATGAATGGTTATTCATGCATACACTCCTAAGACATTTCTGCCAATGCAGTAGCTACAAAGTACTGCATGCCCACTCCATAGCAGGCGCTGAATACACCTGTAATCTGTCTAGGCCCCTTCCACTGTCCCATTCCACCAGACCCAGTGGGCAGTATCTCCTTTGGCAGGACTTCATTTCATACAGACACCCCTTATAATATAGAAGCTAACAACCGTAGAGGGACCTGTGTGCATATTGATGAACATATCCAAGGTCGTACAGCTAGCAGGAAATAAGATCCCAGTCTCAGTCAGCTTTCACACCTTTCTGTTGTTGCAATTTTTAACTCAGGTTTTTTCTGAACTAGCAGGACATGCTGCCTAGTTGTTGGGAAGAGGGTGATGCGGCCTGGCACAGGAATGTTGGCACAAGGTGGAGCAGGTCTACAGCCATATCAGCAAATGCCCTGCAGCTCTGACAGCTACCAGAGTTACTGAGGCACAGCTTGGCCCTCTTCAGCCACTTTCTACTTGCATCCCATTTTGCCTAGCCTTCAGTTGTCTCAGGCTTCTGAAACTTCTTGTGAAGCAGCTCCATGCTGGTAGCATCAATGACATTCCTGTAGAGCCACCATCTCTACTTCCAGGCCCCCTCCCTCATGTCACCAGCTTCCACTGCCACACATACACAGTTGTCCTCAGCATTAGCACCCACATTTGTCTGTCTGGAATCCAGAATGTGCTGCCCTGGCCAGTCCAAATGAGATCAGCAGAGACGGGCTGGAGCTGAGTTGTTTGAATTGTTTTTGCTGAAGGCAAAACAAAGAGTCATCTCTTTTGAAAATCATGCCATCCAGGGGTGGGAAATGGTAGCTTGTCAACCAAGCACAGCCCACAGATGTCTTTCATTTAACCAGCACAGTGTCTACAAAAAAGTCCAAAATAATTACTATTTAAAATTTGTGATATTTCACATGAAAATCTGACATAAAGCTTCCCTTCAAAATTGGAAGCCATAGCAATGCTAGTGGCCCAGTCATCAGCATTCACACAGCAAGTAGCAGCCCCTGAGATGAGCCCACAAGCTCTCTCTGTGGCCTGGCTGACACTGGTTTCTGTGGGATTTACACCTGTAGCTCCTCCAACTCTTCCCATTCCTCCAGGTATTTTCTTTCCCTAGAAAAGAATTTTCATTATTTTTCCTTTCCAAGTCTAGTAAATATTCAGTCCAGTCTTCAGACTACTGGGAAGAATGAATTTCAGAAGAGGGAGACCGAATGAATCCAGACCCTTTGCCCACACATCTTGATACCCTCTATTATGGCCTCTTTCCTTCCCACAAGATCACTCTTTTTCCTATCTTCCAGGTGGAGGCCACAAGCAGGAAAGAAAAGGCTAAGCAGAGGCCGCTGGCCTTGAACACTGTAGAGATGCTGCGTGTAGCCAGCTCTGCTCTGGGTATGTAGGACCATTTGTTTAAAACCTCCAAAGGCATCCTACAGGCATATGGCAACCTGCCCTGTAAAGCTCTAGTGCAGGTAGTGCCAACATCCTCACCTTTGTTAGGCTCCTCTCATGCCCTGAGGCCTGGGACTCAAAGGTCCCAGACTCATTTCTGTAAATCCTGGAATCATTCTTTAGTATTGTTCCTTAAGACCCAACTGCTTCTTTGAACTTATGTGGGGAAAATTAAACAAGACCATTTCTTAGTATTCAGTATTTCAGTATTTGCTACCAGGGCTTAGCACATGAAGACTACATCAAAGCAGGGCCCTCATATGTCCCAGGGTCCGTGGAGGCCCCTCCGGAGGCATTGTACCCTGTAGGTGCAGCTGTAGAGCCAAATTCTAATCCAAATCCCCCCTTGACGACTTCCTTGTCCTGAGCCTCAGTTTCCTCATGAGAAAATGGAGCAATCCATCTCTTTGGGTTGCTATAGAGATTAAATATGTGAAATAGCACATTTTAACAATGGCGATGGTAAGATTAACCACTACAGGAGAGGGACGTCCTAATGTTAGGTTCTCTAAGCAGCTTTTGCAAGAGAGTCTCAGCCAGCTAGAAACAGGTATGAGCATCTTCTATCTGAGCCTTGTTTTCTCAGTTGTGAAAGGCTGCAGGTTAACAGTCTGACAGCTGGCAACTTCTAGGCACTGGTGTCCCACTGTGGGAAGCCATGGGCAATATCCTCATAGCAACACCTCCAAGGTCCTCAGAGGTCATTGATGCCATCAAGTGATCACTAGCTGAGAGCCATCCTGCACTGGTTAGGGAGCAGAAGGACAAGCCGTCCCTCCTCTCAACACCATGAGGACAGAGAATATGTACTTTGTTCTAGTTGTCTCAGCAGCCCCAAGGCCTGGTTACAGCTCCATGGCCAAAGTGAGGGAGAGAGATGCCCCCAAAGCCACGTCACCACTGCCATGAGCACTCTGCTTATGGAGCAGAGTGAGTGGTATTTCCCATTGGGCTCACCTCCCAGGTTTAGGATTTCAGCCTTGGTCAGCTATGTGGCACAGGCACCCACCTGGCCACTAGCTTCAAGCTCCTGCCATAACCCACTCAATGACCCTCACCCTTTAGGAGGTGCTGCCCATCTTGGGAATAGCCAGAGTGTCGAGGTCTATGGTCAGACACCTGGCTATCCCCACGTTCCAGGCTAGATGAGCCTCCTGTCTTTCACAGGTATGGGACCACAGCATGCCATGCAAACAGCCGAGCGGCTGTACACACAGGGCTATATCAGCTACCCACGGACAGAGACCACCCACTACCCCGAGAACTTTGACCTGAAGGGCTCTCTTCGGCAGCAGGCCAACCACCCCTACTGGGCGGACACAGTGAGTGAAATAGGCCCTGCCCTATACAAACCTGTCGCTGAGGCTCAGGCACCTTGGGCACCCAGGACTGGTGGGAGGCAGCCATGCCCAGATAACTGCCCTCTCTTCCTCAGGTGAAGCGATTGTTAGCGGAAGGTATCAACCGCCCTCGGAAAGGTCATGATGCTGGTGACCATCCTCCCATCACCCCCATGAAGTCTGCCACAGAGGCCGAATTAGGTATTGGGCACTCCCCCCACCTTCCTGACACACACACTCACTGCATACGCACCTCCAGCTTCCAGGGTGGGACGGACAAGATGCTATTGTGACAGGTCCCCTTTAGACAGGGTCCCCCCTGTCAATATGGAGGCTTCTTCTGTACCCACCTGTCTCTGGCTTGTTGAGGGGTTCACCTGAAAGTTTTGCTTGGATCTAGAGTGGGAGTGAAGTGGTGGCAGCAGTCAGTATGCAACAGCCTAAGGGAAGTAAGAGAGTGATGGGGCTCAATGACAGCACCTCCTGCCTCCCACCTGGGCTGAGGCTATGTTGGTCACCCACATGCCAGAAGAAGACGGGCAGGGAAGGGAAGGCAGTGTTAAGTGGAGACAGGAACCACTGTGCACACTCTTGAGTATGAAGCAAGGGTGGCATGTTACTAGATGGTGGAAAGAAAGGCTAGCGCCTGGAGAGCAGCCCTACTGGAAACAGGTCAGGGTTATGCAGCTGCAGTTATGAAAGAGCCACCCAGGCACTAAGCAGACTTTCCCTTGCTGTGTGTTTTTCCTTCCTCCCTTGGGCTTTGGAGCTGGCAATCTCTGGCATCTCTGCTGAAGCCCAGCTGCTGGAGGAAAAGTACTATGGATCTGGCCAGCCAGGGTGACTGGCTCTGGGTCTTTTGCAGGGGGTGATGCATGGCGGCTATATGAGTACATCACCAGGCACTTCATTGCTACAGTTAGTCACGACTGCAAGTACCTCCAGAGCACCATCTCCTTCAGGATCGGGCCTGAGCTCTTCACCTGCTCAGGGAAAACTGTCATCTCCCCAGGTAAAATGGCCAGTCCTGGGGTCCTTCTCACCTCATCCATAGATACTGGACCTAGGGTGGGAGGCCCAGAGAGTCAATGCTGTCTCCTCAGGCTTCACAGAGATCATGCCCTGGCAAAGTGTGCCCCTGGAGGAGAGCCTGCCTACCTGCCAGAGAGGTGACACCTTTGCTGTGGGCGAGGTGAAGATGCTAGAGAAGCAGACGAACCCACCTGACTACCTGACTGAGGCTGAGCTCATCACGCTCATGGAGAAGCATGGTATCGGTGGGTGAACCTGCCTGCACCCCAGAACTGGGGTTCCTACCTCCAGACCCCAGGCCAAGAGGCTGTACTTGCAAAGCTGCCCAGTGACCCCTATACACCCAGCCCAGCACTAGTCCACTAATCCATTGTCTAGTAACTAGTGGCATATTGTGTGACCAGTCAATTCAGACAGGCCTATAGTACAAACCTGCTTACAAGGCTTTCCGATCAGGACCTGGCCAAGATCCGTCCTCCTGCACCGCCAGCCAGCAGATGCTGACTAGCACCCACTGGGCTCCCGGGTTGGTCCAGAGTGCCAAAGGATTCATAGGTTAGATCAGCAGCTTCCCCAGTCCACACAGCCTGTGCTGGAAACAGGTTTTGGGTCTGCTTCTCCCCAGAGAAGCACAGTATTGCTTGGGCAATATTGTGGGTCCTGACAAGCAGCTCTCAGCCTGCTGTGGAATGTGGATGCTGATTTCCCCAGCATCCTCCACACCTTCCTGTTGATCAAACAGCCTTGCTGTGACTTATAAACCCTTTCATGTCTTGGCTTCCATAGTCATACATGAGATAGTGGTCTAGACCACAACAAGCTGCAGTTTGTAAGCAGTAAAGAAGTCTTTTGTGTGACCTTCTGAACAGGAAAGTGGGCAAGGTGGCCTTGTTGACTGAGGCCCACAGGGCTATATTAAAAGGGCCTGACTAGAGCAGCCACCAAGGGCTGTGGTGCGAACAAGCCAGGGACACACAGTGCTACATGAGCATGGTGCCTCACACAGTCTGCCACAGTGGGGTTCAGCATTTGTAAGCTTTAGGACCTTAACAGGCTCCTTAGCCTCTGGATATCAGTTTCTTCACATGTGGAATTCTCACTGAGAGTTGCCTTGGAAAAATGCATGTTGCCAATCGGCACAGGCAGGTGTGCAGTCAGTATGAGTTCCCCTTCTGCTCCTCTGACCAACAAATGCAGTCAGAGGAATCACCCTCATCTTAGCATTTTCTGTCAAAAAAGGTTCCATGTCAGAGGGAGCCATACATCCCTGGAACCTTCCTTAGGGATCCTTAGGAGCCTTAGAGACGGAGTGAGCAGAAGACAGGAAATGGGTAAAGCCAACCTGGTTCAGCAGTGGACTTGTAAACTCCCCTCGAGAGGGGTGGGCCCTCCTGGCTTCAGGAGAGGTGAGTGATAGTTTCCAGGTAGGAGAGACCATTGGGGGCACATTTAACACTGTGACCTTAGCAGAGTCCCTTAACCCCTCTGAGTCTGTCCTCAGCTGTAAAGCTAGAATAAGCATCCCATGAGGATCCTTGGTTCACAAAGGCACTCAGTGTGGTTTCCAGCACAACACAGGGCTCTGGGGGCACCCAGCCCTCCCTCCCGGGGTTGCTGAGAGGGCAAGAAACAGGGTCCCCTTGACAGGTGAGAGTGAAGCTGGAGTGCACAGTCCAGTGGATCATGTTGAGGCAGGCTGAAAACACCTGGGGCCTTGCTGTGTGTTTCAGGGACAGATGCCAGTATACCTGTGCACATCAACAATATCTGCCAGCGCAATTATGTCACTGTGGAGAGTGGCCGCCGGCTCAAGCCCACTAACCTTGGCATCGTCCTAGTGCATGGCTACTACAAGATTGGTGAGTCCCTCAGTCCTCTCAGCTTCCCCCAGGTGGGCCCTAGCCTGGCAGCAGCCCAATCCCTTCATGCACTCCCCTGACTCCCACTGCACAGGTGGTGCCCAAGAGCCCAGAATAGGGACTTGGGGCCTGTTTGATGGATGAACAAGACATGTAATAGAGTCTAAAAGGGGGTGTAGCTTAGTGGTTAAGTATTTGTCTAGCATGAGGCTCTGGGTTCCATGCCCAATACTACCAAAAGTCTCAAAGGCCCCTTTCTTGGAGGTGCCCCCTAGCCTGTGGGAGATTGAGAAGCACAGAACAGACATGGCCTACAGACAGCCATAAGCACATGTGATGCGCTGCTAGACACAAGATGTACCTGGCCCCTCTGCACAAGGTTTCCCAGTGGAAAATTGGGAAAGGCCTAGGGGTAATAGGAGCCAGTCTGTGCCCCCAACTCTGAGGACAGGCAACTCAGGGAGAGGCTGGGAGGACCAGCTGGAGCTAGAGAGGTGAGCAGGGCAGCAACCCTTGCCCTGCCTCTTGGGGATGGCTGGGCCCTGGGTGCCAGTGCTCACAGCAGTATCTACACACACCAATCTGTAGATGCAGAGCTGGTGCTCCCCACCATCCGCAGTGCAGTGGAAAAGCAGCTGAATCTGATTGCCCAGGGTAAAGCCGACTACCGCCAGGTCCTGGGCCACACCCTGGATGTCTTCAAGAGAAAGTTCCACTACTTTGTTGACTCCATCGCTGGTAAGCCTTTCCTCTTCCTGCCCCTCTGTCAGGGCACCCACGTAAAACCCACTCAGAACCAGGCTTTAGGCCTCTGCAGGTCCTAATGAAGATGCCTCCTAGTTGGGTACTATCAGGATTAAAGAGCAGATGAATTAACACCACACACAGCTCTGGAAACATGGACCTGTTGAATGGTGCTGCAGATATGGTGCTCTGTCACTGACAGGGACACGTTCACGCTCAGATCCTTGACTGTGTGGTGTCTCCCTCAAGCCCACCTACTTCAACCAAGCCTCCTGTCAGAGGGTGGGCTGCCAGAGACTGGGAAAAGCTGACTTTCCTATACTCTGCTTGCTCTCAGGCATGGACGAGTTGATGGAGGTGTCTTTCTCACCCCTGGCGGCCACAGGCAAGCCCCTTTCACGCTGTGGGAAGTGCCACCGGTTTATGAAGTACATCCAGGTAAGTGGAGGTGAAGGACTGCACTGCTCCTGACCACAGTGCCCTTGTGCACTGACTCAAGCAAGTCACGTCACCTCCTAGGCCTCTGTTTTGTCATTAGTCACATAAAAATCATGCTCTTTGTCTTGGTTGTCACACAGAATGATGGAAAGGCCTAAATCAGCACCAATAAACACCCACAACTGACCCCACAAACACATATGCCATTAGGCCATGTTAATTCATACTGTCCATTTCTGCCTAACACCACATCTCTTCCAACATGCCAGGGGTTTAAAACCCCCTGCCTTAATGATAGAGCAGGTGTCCCAAGGCTGTGGCCAAGGCTTGGCAGGTGCTTGTCTGGCACCATGACGTATGTGACAGATAAGGTATTCTGTATTGTGAGGGGAAGGAGGGCAGGCAGGAAAGTCAGTCCCTGGTAGTTCTCATGCCCCTCTTGGTTCCACCATAGGCCAAGCCCAGCCGCCTGCACTGCTCTCACTGTGATGAGACTTACACCCTGCCCCAAAATGGCACCATCAAGCTCTACAAGGAGCTACGGTGCCCACTGGACGACTTTGAGTTGGTCCTGTGGTCCTCAGGTTCCCGGGGCAAGAGCTACCCATTGTGCCCCTACTGCTACAATCACCCGCCCTTCCGAGACATGAAGAAAGGTGAGTGTGGTGCCCAGCCCCCCAGCCTGGCCCTGCTGGGGGATCTCCAGTCTTTGTTTAGCCCTAGCCTCACACCATGCCAGACTCTGAGGGGACCCCTTACCCCAACCTTTCTCAAGTTCAGTGGTGCTGAGGTGGCAACCCCAGGGTATATTTGGGGTACTTCTGAGAAAACTCTTGGCCCATCTGCTGCTCTCTGCCTGGGTCATAATTGGGCAGGGAGTTCTAGGCAGGATCCAAGCAAGGGATGAGCAGTGCCCCCGTCCATGGGCTGGGGTGAGGGAGCAGGAGGCGGAGCCACCTAGCAAACAGGGCACCCTTGGCCGTGTATGTCCTTTTGTTTATTACTAGAAAAACGGGAGCTTGTGTCCAGGCTAGTCAGAAAGCCCTGAGGCAAGAGTCATAAGGCACTTTGGACCTAGCACACATACCCATGCTGCACATTCAAGTGTCACCATCCCCTACCACAGACTAGGGACCAGTGGGAGAAGCATTTGTCCACTGTAGGGAACGCTCTAGGTCTCAGTCTTTATCCATGCTGCCTGGGTAGTGAAATCCCATGTGACTTAGTGACATGAGTATCACATGGAGCTGCCAATAATGAGCTGAAGTAAAAGGAAACAATGGCCTTGGCTGGAATCTGCCAGGAAGGTATTAGCTTGGGGGCTCTTAAAGATTGAGAAGACTTTAGATAAGCACAAGCAAGGGATGATGGCAGTTGTGGACCTCAGGAGCCCAGGGCCTGTGTGAGCAAGGTTGTTACCAAGAGCAAGGCTGAGAGGAGCATTTTGTGCTAGGACAGAGGTGCAGAGTTTGAGGCACTGAGAGGAGGGCCAGGGAGCTGCAGGTGGGCGGGCAGGTGTGCATCACAGTGCTCCTCTCTCCCCCCAGGCATGGGCTGCAACGAGTGCACACACCCCACCTGCCAGCACTCACTGAGCATGCTGGGAATTGGCCAGTGCGTGGAATGCGAGAGTGGGGTCCTGGTGCTGGACCCCACTTCAGGGCCCAAGTGGAAGGTGGCCTGCAACAAGTGCAATGTGGTGGCCCACTGCTTCGAGAACGCCCACCGTGTACGGGTATCTGCTGACACTTGCAACACCTGCGAGGCTGCCCTACTGGACGTGGACTTCAACAAGGCCAAGTCCCCCCTCCCTGGCAACGAAACACAGCACACAGGCTGTGTCTTCTGTGACCCTGTCTTCCAGGAGCTAGTGGAGCTAAAGCATGCAGCCTCCTGTCACCCCATGCACCGTGGTGGGCCTGGAAGAAGGCAGGGCCGAGGGCGGGCCCGGGGCCGGCGGCCCCCAGGTAAGCCCAACCCCAGGCGGCCAAAGGACAAAATGTCAGCTCTGGCTGCCTACTTTGTTTGACACCCCTGTCATCCGTCACTCCAGCTACAGTTTGATGCAGACACATCAAGATGGTTGGTTTTCAGCCACTGAAGCTATTAAAATGCTTTTTGTCTTCTACGGAGCAAGAAGTTTGGGGCCTTTTGCTGGTGAAGTAATGTCAGAGAATTCTTGGGGACCTGTGGGGCTCTCCCCCTTCATTCTGTTCATGTCCAAAGTGTTCCCTGCTCTGCCCTGTGGGGAAGCCACCAAGCCTGGAGCCAGGTGAACAGAGCCAGTCTGCTCGTATGCCACCTCAGTACATGTACAATAACAGCAACTGTGTACAAGCAAAAAGGAGACCTGACGCCATGAGGAAGTGGGCATCATCAGTCCAGCAGGTGTCCTAGGAGAGAGGCCAGGTGGACAAGCAGGGCTGGGAGAAGTCCTCTCAGCCCAGCTTATGCATCTCCTTGACCCGTGGTTTCAGCCCACTTGCTTGGGCCCACCATTCTGACCCCACAGTTGCATGCTTGGCACTACTAACTCAGCAACTCCAAGCAAACATGGCACGTACTGCCTATGAGGGACTCTGGCTGCTTCTCGGAGCCTGTTCTGATTCTTTTTCTCATAAATGAGCCCACATTGTGTCAGACAGAGGCAGCGGTCATGTGCCAGGTTTACATAAGCCAAACTGCCCTGTGGCAGCCAAATGCTAGCTGTAGACCACCACTCTGACAGTGGCTCCTTCCTGTGCCCCACTCTCCAGCTGCCCAACAAGAGATCCTGTGTAAGGTCTATTGTGTGGTGAAGACTTCCTCCACCTCTGATCATGCCTCACTGTGTGGTGGGCAGGAATTCAGCAAACCATCTTTTCTAGACTGTTCTGTAGGATACTTGTTAGAGTGACAAGACCCCTCCCTCTGCAGTAGAGTTAACAGTTTGTACCAGGACAGATGAGGCACTGAAAGAACCATAGAGAAATCCACAGTTAATGCAACAGTCCACATGGGCATTCCCCACCTGAAACACAGGTGGGAAATCCCCTTTAGAAGTTGACAGAAAGTAGGCAGTGAGGAGGAGCATTGTCTCTTTGGGAGGGACAACTGCCTCTGCTGCTGAGGACAACTGCCTGGGAATCTGTGCAGCAGATGTCTTAGAGGTATAAGTTACAGGAAGAAAGGGACATTCAAAACCTGTTTCTTCCCCCAGTCACTACAGTCAGATTCTGCATCCTTAACAAGGCCACATCTCTTGGTGGACAGGGTCACTGACACAGAGCCAGGACTTGGCTCTTCCATCACATGTCCCAGTCACATAGAGTATGGACCTGTGGCCTCTCCACAGGAAGGCAACCTGGCCACCTGATGCTTCAGCACCCTTCCAGGGAGGCAGCTCAGTTACAGTTTAGTTTGGGCTTAAACTCAGACCACCCATTCTATCCTTACCATAATTCTTCCTTGAGATTTCTACCACAAGCAGGATTAATAAAAGTGTTATTTCACTTTCTCTGTGGCTGTCCTTATGCATGGAACTCCCACAAGGAGGCCCTTAGGTTGCTGAAGCTTCATTGTGCATTCTGGTCATTCTGTGTGACCAACCCCACTATCTGCTAGCCGTGACTCTAGGAGCAATGAAGACAAGGAAGAAAGGAGGTCTGGTTTAGGCCAGAACTGTCTCCCAAGCAGCCACGCTCCTTAGGACCATCCCTTCTGTCCGGAAGCTATAGAGGTCTGTGACTGCAGGGCAGCCTGCTAGGGGTGAGGGGGGTGGAGGGTGTATAGGCAGGATCTTCCAAACTAGCCCTCTTCATCCTTACACATGGCTCCCAGTGGCAGAGCATGGTTGAGCATACTTCTGGAATGGGACATTTGGGAGCTGGGAGAAAGTTCAGTCAGGGAAGACAGGTAGGAGGAAGACCTGGAGCAGAGCACTCTGAGAGCCCCTAGTTCTCCCCCTAGCCAGGGAAGTGGCCTTGCTACAGAAGCATGGGCTTGGTGGCCTGTTGGATGGGTGATACTGAGGTTCATTTCACAAGAAAGAGAGCCAAGAGCTGAGGCGTGGTGGAATGTAGACAGGGAGGCGTTGACAGATGCCACAGGGCACAAGTACTTGCATAAGCACATCCTTGGCCTAGAGCCCGGCAAGGGCAAGTCCTGGTGCATAGCACTGCCATCTACCTACCTACCTCAAGTGGAATCGCTCAACAGTAGCACAGCTCCTATGGAGGAAGCCTGCAGGCATGTTGGCTTTCGTTAGCACTGCACTTTACACTGTAGAAGGAGCTGCCATATATATCATTTTGCCTAGACTACAGTTCTCAAACTTCACAGCCATTTTGATGTAGGTGGCCCAGGTACTTTTGAGAAGCACTGGCTTGGGGTCTCACAACAGCCCTACAACAGGTTGTTTGCTATTATGCCCATTTTTCTGGTAAGGAAACAGGCTCTGTCTGTCCAAGGTCACAGGTTATAAGAAATAGCCCCAGCCTTGCTCAGGGTCACTGCTTTGACAGGGATCTAGAAATGGGGTGGGTTAGAAAGGGGTGAACCAGGACCTCACTTGCTCCAACCCCTGCCTGGTAGATCCACCCCCACCCTAGATGGTTTCCTTTAGATCAGCCAGTTTTAGTTCTCCAGATTCACGACTTACTGAAACCCTTCTGTCAGTGAAGCATCCTAGAGACCTTCCTGGGAAGGACTGTGTAGACTTGAAGATCAGATGGGCAGGGCCACAGTAAGGCTTGACGGCTTGTTCTCCATTAAAAACCTACAATTACAGCCAGTAATTATAGGTTCATATGTATAATCCTAGCTACTAAGGAGGCAGAGATCAAAAGGATCAGGGTTCAAAGCCAACCCAATAGTTCATGAGACCCTCCCCCATGTTGAAAATACCCAACACAAAACGGCTGGCAGAGTGGCTCATGTGGTAAAATGCCTGCCTAGCAAATATGAGACCCCGAGTTCAAATCCCAGAACCACCACAAAATCTAATTACACCTTACACCTGAGCTGGTGTGAAGATGAATATACTAATACTAGACATTAAAAATATTTTCCTTAGCCAGGAGCCAGTGGCTCACTCACTACTAGCTGATATGTAGTAGTAGCTAGTAGTAGCTAGCTACTCAGGAGGCATAGATCAGAAGGATCAAGGTTCAAAACCAGCCCAAGCAAATAGTTCTCAAGACCCTATCTCAAAATACCAACAGAAAAAAGGGCTAGTGGAGTGCCTCAAGTGGTAGAGCACCTGGCTAACAAACATAAGACCCTGAGTTCAAACCCTAGTACCGCCAAAAAAACTTTTTAAACTATTTTCCTTGGCCTGGGCTGGGCATAGTAGTGGAACACGCCTATAATCCCAGCTACTTGGGAGGCGAAGATAGAAATATCACGGTCTGAGTCCTGCGTGGGCAAAAGTGAGACCTTCTGAAAAACTAAAAGCAAAAGGACTAGCAGTGCGACCCAAGTGGTAGAGCAAATGCTGCAAGCACAAGGCTCTGAGTTTGATCCCCAGTACTGCCAAATATATATATATATATCTTTCTTCCTTGCTCTAAAAGTATATATTTTCTATTTTTCAAAGAAAACGTTTTTGTGAGCCTCTATGGTGTCAGAAAAATGCCCATCTCCCCCAAAAAAATGTCTGTGTCCAACATACATTTGAAAAAAGACAGCCTCTTTTTCCCAGCTTTGTGAAAACTAACACACAGGCCCCGGGGTATTGTGCCTCTTGCCCCTGATGGATGGGCCAGCCTTGGGAAGTCTTGGTTTGCATCCCTGCCCTGCCGCTTACCACCTATTGACCGGACAGAAAGTGCTTAATTTCTAGGCGCTGTGAGGTAGAAATTGCTGTTCGCCATCTAGCCATCCACCCAAGGCTGAAGAGAAGCAGTTTGCCAGTGCTTTGGAGCACAGGTGTCGGCGCAAAATGAAAGAGCCACGAGACCGCCAGGGGGCAGCATATGTCCGGCCCCGCCCGCCCTGAGATCCGACTACGCCTGCGCGGCCCCCGCGGCGGCCCGGGACGGGAAGTGGGCGGGGCCAGCGAGCAGCCGCTCTTGGGGCGCAGAGCGGCGGGGTGGCAGGTGAGGCCCGCAGGGACCTGGGGGTAAGGAAGCCCCGGGGGGCGATATTGAGAGAGTGACGGGGCTGGGACGAGGTCAGGTGAAGGCCCAAAGTGCACAAGGATGAAATGGGGCTGCGGAACCCTGGTTGCAGAATAAGGGGGCTGAGAAGGCAAGAAAAGGCCAAGACGAGGCTCAGATGGAGGGATGCAAAGGGTGGAGGGGTTGAATGGGAAACTGAGGAACAGGGAGAGCAACTGAGGATCTGAGGAACCCGAAGCGAAGAATGAGGGGCTGGTGAGGCAAGGGCGTGAAACTGGGGGGCCCATTGACCCGGCGGGGGGTGTGGCCAGCCAAGGGCTAGTGGGGACCCGGGGCTGTGAGGCAGACTAGGGTGCCAAAGGATGACACGTTCCCTTTTTCACGGATCCAACCCATCCCAGCTCATCCCACCTCTCAGGAACATGTGGGCGAGACCCACTGCCCTGTGTCGTACCCCACCAGCACAGTCACCTTCGTGGGACCACATCTCTGCTGAATGCACCCGTTCCAGGGCCTCCCACGTCTGTTGAAGGTAAGTGTTTCAGTTAAAGCAGTGCTTAGGCTGCAGCTGCTTCAGCTGGATTGTGTTAGAGTTTCAGGCATGGAGGCCTTGGGCTTACCACTGCAGCGTGTGAGCTCAGTCAAGCCCCTTAACCTCGCTGTGTAATAGGAAGAAATGACACCCACAATAGGGGGTTTTACATAGGGCCTAACACTCAATGGATGGGGATGTACTCCACCAAAGCCTACTATGCTGAGGTCCTCTGAGTGACATATATTCTCATGGCATTCCCTGGGGTGAGTTCTGTGAGCCAAACTCCTCCTACCTCGGGGTGTGGAAAGTGAGGCTGGAAGGCACTCTGAGGCCACCTCTAGCTCATTGCTGGCTTGTATGCTCAACCCTGCCATTGACAAATTTCACTCTTTTCCTCCCACAACTGAGGTGCAAGTGGCAAAATCACCTGGCATCAGAAGATTGAGTCCTACTTTGCCACTTACCTCCTGTGTGACCTTAGACAAGTGCATATCCTCCCCAGTCTATTTCTTTCTCTGTAATGTGACCTGACAGTATGTACTTACCAGCATAGTTGTGAGAGGTAAAGCAAAACGATGCCTTAAACCTCCCACTAAAGTTTATTTGTGGGAAACCAACCCTGTCTTTAAGGCCTGTCCTTGCTACCCACTGTGCTAAGAGGAGTGTTTTAGTTTCCTCTTTAAAGCTGCCAGGTCTCAGACTTCATACTCAGCCCATGATGGCCACTCAGCTCTTCCCTCTGTTATCACACTTGCCACCTGCTGAGGACAAATGGTCAGGGTGGGCTCTCTGACCACAAGGTTCCATCAAGAGCCATAGGCTGGTGGCTCACACCTGTAATCCTAGCTAATCAGGAGGCAGAGATGAGGAGGATCATTGTTTGACACCAGCCCTGGGTAAATAGCTCATGAGACCCTATCTTGAAAAAACCCATCACAAAAATGGGCTGGCAGAGTGGCGCCTGCCTAGCAAGTGTGAGGACCTATGTTCAAACCCCAGTGCTGCCAATAAATAAATAAATAATGAGCAAGATGAGCTGGAGATGCGCCTCAAGTTGTAGCATAGCTGTTTTGCAAGCCCTGAGTTCAAACTTCATTCCCACACACACACACAAAAAAAACAGCCTGTAAAAAGAAAAGTGTTTTCACAACAATATAAATCTGTTTAATGTCACAGAACTCTACATTTAAAATAGTTAAAGGAAGGAGTGGGTATGGTGGTATGGCTTAGGGGGTAGAGTGTATGCTTGTGCTTATCATGCACGAGACCCGGAGTTTAATCCCAACACCAAAAAAGATGATTAAAGTGAGTGACAAATGTTATTTTGTGCATATTTTGCCACCATATATATAGTGAAATAAACATATAAATGTAAATCCATAAAGTATTTCCACATATATGCAGGGAAAGATCTGGTTAAGATCTAGAAGGATTTGCACCCAATTATTTCTGATAGTTATTTATGAATTAAAGAAATATGTTTCTCCATTGGTAGAAAAAAATGAACAGTGAGTACACTACTTTCACAACAATAGTAACACAGTTTCCTTTTCTAAAGATTGCTGTTTTGTCATTTCCCAGGATCTGAAGTTAAGCAAGATTCAAGTATTTTGTCTGTAACACCTAGAAAAAACTGCAGTTATACATATATATATTAGTTGAGCTTTTAAGTCCAAACCAGTAAACTAGAGGAAGATAAATAGTTCAAAAAAAATTTTTTTAAAAGAAAACTTTTATGTCAGTTGCCATCAAAAGGGCCATAGAGCCATGGAAGAGAGTGTATTGGACCCCAAAGGTAGAAAGAGGTCAGCAGAACCTGATAGGATCAGAGCGATGGGGGAAAAGCACTGGAGCAGAAAGACTTCGGATTTAGTTCAGGAAAAGGAAGTGAAGGGGCTGTCCTGGGGCTGCAGCACAGAAATGAAAGAGGCCATGAGAGAGCCAACTTCCAGAATTAGTGACCAGTGAGGGGTGGGTCAGTGACAGGAAGGAGTCAGAATGACTTTGAAATGAGGGGCTGATTCCCCATCGTAAGCCCCAGCCAGGCAGTGACTTTGGGCAAGTCACTTAGCCTTTATGCTGCAGCCAGCACCTGTAAAGTGGAGAGGATCACAACAAGGTTGTCAGGAGATTAGAAGGAATGACAAGAGATCAAGCCGATGTCAGCTGGCAGCACCCTGGTCCCACTGCTGAAGCTGTCAGCTAACGAGAAAAGCCAGGAAGAACCAGCTGAGGGTCATGTTTGGCAAGACTGATCAAAGCAGGTGACACTGAGGGTAAGGGGTCCAGTGTCCCTTCTCCTCCCCTAGGTTTTTGGTGACTTGTACAGACTTATGCACACATCCCTCCCACTCTGAGCCCTTTATTTGTGTGGGGACACTGCAAAGTCCAAACAACCCTATACAACTACCTCTGGTACTTCTCCAGCCCCGTCTCCTCCCCAACTGCCTTGTTCAACTGTTGCCTACCTGCCAGCCTTCATCTTTCTCCTAAGACTGTCTCCTCCAGTGATCTCAAAAGAACTCAGAGTACTGGCACTGTCCCTTTACCTGTCTAGGTACTGCCTCTGTTTCCCACTTCAAGATCAGAATTTCCCTCCTGCTGCTGTCTGTGTACCTTTCTCTCTAGGTCATGAGCTTCCCAGGGCAGGGATTATTCTCCTGTCCATATGGCATGTATCAGATTTAGGAGTTTATAAGAAGTTATTATTCTTGTCCTTTACCCCAGCTGGGGCCCCAAAAAGGAAAACTGTAGCCTGGTTCTTTTCCTCCCCTCTGACCTAAGCCAGGCAATGCAGAAACACATCTAGGTGGTACCCAGCAAGCAGGGTGGCTCTGGGCACTGTGCCTTTCTAACAAAAGTAGGCAGTTGATGCAGACCCTGAGAATAAGCCAGTCCCACCCCTCTGCAGATACAGACCTTCTCGCATGAGCATAATGGCTGCTTCACCCGCCCAGACCCCACTCAGCATTCATGGTACAAATGGTCATTAGGGCTCATGCCAAGTCCTGGGCTCAGGGCAGTGGGCACAAGCCACAGAGAGCAGGCAGTGCTGCAGGGCAGAGAGGAGGAGCCAGACTCGGAAGAGGGGCTCCAGGCACAGGAAACAGCCCAGGGGTAGAGGTAAGAAAAAAGCACCTGGACCAAAAGGTCCAGCAGACAAGGCTCTAGCAAGTGGGGTCAAAGATGGAGGGTCTTGAATTCTGTGGAAGTGGGGTCTTTATGCTGTGAGCCAGGGTTTCGCCAACTGGAACCCTTTTGTGTATTTCAAATGAAAGGAGCATACAGTCTTTTCACTTGACTCTAATGAGAAATTTACACAAACACATTTAGCACTTCTGAAGGTTTCAGTGCCTCTGTTGGGGATCCAAGCATATACCAAATGCTGGCAGTTGCTTGAGGGCAGCTCTGCATTATTCACAATTCCCTCTCTAACCAGGTGAGAGCAGTTCATAGCAGAGAAGGGGATTTGGCCTCTTCCTCTGCCCACGGGCTCTGAACTTGCCAGGAAATTCATGCCATCTCCTTGATGCCTTCTTGTGGGCTTAATCTTCATACTCTGCAGCTCTGCTATACTGTGCTGACAGGTCCTCTGTTGCCCTCCTCCCACCCTTACCCAGGGCTCCCTGCCTGTTCTCATTTCTCCATTTCATAAACTTAGTAATCATAAAAAAGGACAACCCTTCCATAAGTAGGGTTCTTTAGCCACTAGCTTCCTTCATCTCTTCTTGTTTTCAGCTGTAGTCATCCTTCAACTTCAGACCCTTACCCTCAGCTTCTCTTTTGGCAGTTTAGAGGCATCACCTATAGATATTTTAAGACTAATGATTCTGGAAGATTCTTGCCTGTAGTCTGCCTGCTCCATTCAGTGGTTAGAACCTGAAAAGCTTCAGGAAGGGGATGAACTAAGAGAGGTATGGGCTAGAAAGCTCCTTCTTAGATTCTCCCACCTAGAACTTGGGGTATTCTTCAGAATCTTATGTTAATTTATCACCTTAAAAGATCCCTGGTAGTAAATGCACAGTTCTCTTTCCTGAAGAACATTTCCAAACCTAAGTGTTAATTGGAGACTTCAGGGGTGCCACAGCCATAGGAGGGCTGGAGGAAGCAAGCCCTGGGGTACATGTGTCTAGAAGGGGCAAGAAAGAGTAGGGCTGGAAGAGTCCAGGCTACAGCACCAAGAAGAGCAAATGGGAGGATGGAGCAGAAGCAGATCACACAGGTAGGAAGACGGAAGAGGCTGGGAGTATGGTTCAGTGGTAGAGCACTCACCTAGTATGCACAAGGCCCTGAGTTTGATCCCCAGTACTAAGGGGAGAAAAAAAAGAGACGATTGAAGCAAGAGTTATTTCATTGATATGTGGATGGCTATGAAAAAGAGGCAGGAGTCCAGGTAGAACCTCAGATGTCTAATGTAACAGACTAGGGGCCAGAACCAGTCTGCAAAGACTAGGTGTGAGTGTGGAAAGGGCTTGCTGACCTTGGCTGTGACTAGGTGGATCTAAACAGGAGAGACGTGCTAAAGGCCCTCCTTGGGGAGGAAGCACTTTGAGGCCCTTGGGCACTATTGTGCCTCTCTCAGATGTGAGAGGAGCAGTGTGGGGTGGTGACAAGCTCAGGTGCCCATATCCCTCCTGGGTTCCATTGTCCATCCTGAGACCTCTAGTAATGGACTCTCATCTGTGAAATGGGGACTTGACCTGGCTCCTACTGTGTCAGGGGCACATGAGCCTGGCAGCTACTAAACCCTTAGCATTCCTAAGGATGTGAGAAAGAAGAGGCTGGAGCCTGTGCCTCTGGTGGAGTCAGCAGCGTTGGGGCATCTGCGGTATCCCTCCTCCAGCCAAGCCGTAAGAAGACTGAGTCGTTCTAAGCTCATGACCCACTCTTCCTGTTAGAGAGCATTGAAGAGGACTGACCACATCTCAAAGTACCCCCAGCCCAAGTTAACTCTCTACTTCACTCCTACCCACCCCTCAGGCAGCCCAGTGGCCTCTGAGGATCCCTTCCTGCTCTCACTTTGGTCCATCTCCCAGTCCTGGGCTGACTGCTCCTGAGTGTTGGTTCTTTCTTTCTCTAAACCATCTCTGGAGCCCAGTGCACGTCCCTTCTCCCATCAGGTCACTACTTCCAAGCACACAGACCTGATGGCCTCACATCCTCACCTTGAAGCCCCCTAGCGGTTGATGTCCTGGGCTCAAATGGAACCTTTTTGCCTGCCTCAATGACCTAGCTCTGGTGTTCCTTTTCTACCCGCCATTAGCCATGCCTCTCTCTGCTGGGAACATAAGTTATTCTGTTACTTTTTTTTTTTTTTTCCCAGTACCGGGGCCTCACACTTGCAAGGCTGATGCTCTTTCCTCTTGAGCCACTCCACCAGCCCTCCTTCTGTCACTTCTCCATGATGTCCTTAAGGTCTCTATTCCCACCATCCAAAGGCTGCTTCTCAGGGTACCCATGTGTCCACTTGGACCCATGTTGGGATACTGGCTGGGGTCTTGCTATACTTGCTGTGCTCCCTAAACTATGAGGTCTCTGCTGTGCATTGCTTGCAGGTGATGGACACAAAGCAGGACACCTGCAGTTTGGGTTGCAGGGTGCATCTACCCTGTGATATTGCTAATTCTGCCATCTCTTCCCCAGAGTGAAGACTGACGGAAGACCATCTCACCCCCAAGCCTGGCTGCAAGCCTCCCGGGATGCTCTGGGCTTGGCGTCTGGAGCCCAACAGAACAGCAGCCAGATGGCCTGTGGCACAGAGATTCCAGACTTCTTGGATGCATTCCTCCAAGACTTCCCAGTCCCACTGAGCCCAGAGAGCCCTTTGCCATGGAAGGCCCCGGGGGCCATGCTGAGCCAAGAGGAGGTAGAAGGCGAGCTGGCTGAGCTGGCGATAGGCTTCCTGGGCAGCAGGTAGGCCAAAGGGGAGAAGACTGGACTGAGCAAGTCACAGAAGTGTTGTGTGTCTGCCGTGTGCTGACCTTGACACTACCTAAGCCCCATGATGGCGTTATTCAGTTGTCTCCCCTTATCCACATCTCAAACCCTCAGTAGAGGCCTGAGACCATGGATAGTACTGAACCCTATAATTTGATACCTTTCTCTCTTAGCTAAGCACTTACCACACATGCACTGTAACTTCTGCAGTCTAAAGTGCAACAAAAAACCAGCACAAATTTCTCGCCTTTCACAGTTTCACCAAAGATTCATTCTTGTGACAGATCTTAGCAACTTCAGCATTGGAATTTTTTCCTTTCCTTATTAAAAGTTGAGAACTTTCACCTGTTCACTTAAAGAAAATACTTTGGTATATCCAAATTGCCAGCCTCACTACTTTTGGGCTTTGGGCCATTACTAAGTAAAATAAGGGTTACTTGAGCCCTGCAAAACCAAGATGGTCAATCTGATAACCAACACAGCTAGTAAGTGACTAAGGGTCAGGGAGCATATACAGCTAGGATATGCTGGACAAAAACCACTTTGTGTTCCAAGCAGAACAGAGCAGGGTGGTACAAGTTTTCATCAGGCCACTCAGAACAGTACACAGTTTAAAAGTTATAAGTTGTTTATTTCTGAAATTTTCTATTTAATATTTTCAGACCATTACAAGTAATTAAAATGACAGAAAACAAAACTGGATAAGATGGGGTGGGAGGGTGGCATTATATTGCTTTCCAGTGGCTGCTTTAACAAGGTATCACAAACTGGGCAGCTTATTACAACAGAAATTTGTCCTCTTATAATTCTGGGGGTCAGCAGTCCAAGATCAAGGACTTGTTGGCAGGACCTTTCTCTTTCAAGGGCCATAGGGGAAAATATGTTCTAGGCCTTTCTCTTAGCATCTGGTAGCAACTTCTTAGTGTTCCTTGGCTTGTAGACTCACCCCTCTGATCTCCCCTTTATCATTACATGGTGTTCTGTATAGCCTCACTTTTTGTGCGACACCAATCATATTGAGTTAGAAGCCACCCTACTGTAGTGTGACCACCTCTTACTGTAAACTACATTTGCAAAGAACGTAATTCCAGATAAGGTCATATTCTGAGCCACTGTGAGTTAGGATTTCAACATACTTGGGGTGGGGGGGGTGGCACAATTAAACTCACACCAGGTGCTGAATGGTAAATCCTGTTTCTGTCCCATCATACTGACAAAAAGGCAGAGGTAAGTGGATTAAGGGACTAGCCCAAGGCCACATGCTCTCCTTCTCTACCCGCCCCCAGCCACCACAATCTACAAGATAGTTAGTGATATCCCCATTTCACAGGTGAGGAAGCACCAAGGGGTGGCAGAGCCACCTCTGTAGACTTCAGGGAAGGTGAAGAGTAGTGGGACCTGTAGCAGCCTGCAAGGTTGTCTCCTAGGCTGACCTCAGGTCTCTTCCTCAGAAGAAGTATACTTGGTCCTTGTAGCCTTTCCCCTTTCATTTATTTATTCATCCATTCTAGAAGTATTTGTCCCATGAAACTATGAAGGACAAGATCTCTTTTCTGACCCTCTCTGCTCAGTTCTAAAGCTGTAGGAGGTAGAACAGAGCTCCCCAGGGGCCTGCTTAGACTCCCCTACATTGTGATGGATTTAAGGAATTTTTGTTCTTTCCTAGTATTTTCTCTCTTAGGCAGATATGGGTCATCAGTTGGGGTCTGAGCCTCATGTGTATCCTGGACCATGTACAACTGTCCACGAGCACCCACATATGCACATTTGTGCATGTCTGGTGACTTACACCTGACCTATCAGGTGTAAGGAGACCTACCTCCTTCATGTTCTGCTTCCCATCCCCAACTTGAGACTCAGGTATAAATGGCTTTGAGTATAGTGGTCCAATGGGCTTTTTTTTCAGATTTTAATTTTATCCTCTCTGAAGTCGTCCAAACTCTGGTCTGCTCATTTTAGGTCTTATCTTTCCCTCTTGTTGCTCACAGTTTTATTGTCAAATCTTTGGGTTCTCAAGCCAGTGCATATCTTACACTGTAATTATTTAGATGTAGTTTTCATCTCTCTTGTTAGACTATAAACTCCTTGTAAATCCCTTTCCACCCTTCCTCCACCTCCCCTCCAGGTGGGTGGTCTGGTATTTCTTTGGTTCCTGGATGGTTCCCTGGAACATCCTCTGACCAAATTTAGGAGCCCCATCCCCCAGGCCTGAATCAGAGTTAGATTTCATGGTACAGTGACCCAGCCCTGAGGGCCTGCAGGGTTTAGCCATAGGCGAGACCCTTGGATGCAGTAGAAGCCCTGTCCAGGAAAGGGATGCCAGTGGCCCAGCGCCAGGCATTGTCTGGGTCCCCATGGCCGGAAGCTGCCTCCCTGTCCCCAATAGCAGTAGGAGCAACAGCAGCAAGGGGTGGGCAGGAAGCTGAAGCATGACCTCACCCAGGCCTAGGAAAACAGTAGGGCCCTTCTGCTGGGAAAAGGGAAAACCCAGCAGTTGGCAGGAAATGCTCAAATGGTGGAAGAACTCATTTCTCATGTCTTGGCTTGCTTTCCCACTCTTATTTTTCTTTTTTTCTTTTCCTCTGTCCTCCTCCCCCTTTCCTCCCCCTTCCTTTTTTTCAGTGTTGGGGAATCAAACCTAGAGCCGCAAGCATGCAAGGCAAGCATTCTAATCCTGAACCACACCCATCCTGCTGGTTGTTTGTCAAAAGCAGTTCCAGAGGATTCTCCCCTGTCACCTTCTTATTTTAAAAAAAATCAAGAATCCCGGTAGACTCCAAAGACCATCAGTAGAGGCCTCAAGTTCCCAGTCCCCACCAGACATGATCCATTGGCCACACTATAGGCAGGTCTTTATCCTCTGGTTAAAGCAGGAGTGTCAGCCCCACAAAGAGTCATGGGGCTGCCCCCAAGCAGCACCTCCCCCCCAAGAACAGACACGTAGTTCAACTCACTGGGCCAGAAGGTAGAATCTGGAGGGTCAAGATGCATCCTAAGGGCCCCAGGAGGACTGTCCCATTCTGCCCAGATTGCCAGGGAGGGCTTCTATGGATATGGAATTTGAGCAGGGCTTCCCAAAGCATGAAGCCCACATGGGGGTGTGGGACAGAGCCCATGTGGAAGGGCAGGGCAGAGCCTGTGTGTAGGAGCATGGCAGGCATGGATAGATCCTTGGCTACAGCAGGCTTCAGTCTCTTGATCCCCAGAACTCTTCCCTTGATCTGCCACTTGTGCCCCTTTTGCATTGCCTGCCTGCCAAAGGCCCCCAACACAAAATTGGCATTTCCTTTCCTCCACTTGTCTTCAGCATACAGTAACACCTCTCTACCCCACCTGTACCTACTCGACTCTTCAGCTCTGTTCTGGGACTTTCAAAGGGGTCAACCAAGTCTCACTTCTCAGAATTATTCCTCCATGGTCTTGTGGAAGACACCTGTCGGATCATTTTCCACTTCTCCAGCTGTTGCCTGGCGGTTATGGGTGGGTAAAGCTCCTCATTTATCCTGCAGTTCCATCTCTTGCCAGACCATGTACCCTTAGCTCCCCAAGCCTCTTGAATTCAGCAGAACCTGAGAACCAGTGGAGACAGAACCCATCACTTTGTCCTAGGCAAATTAATTAATGGTGTCAGTGTTCCCCCAATTGCTCAGAACAGAAACCTTGACTTTGTCTCTGTTCTTTCCTCACCCCAACCAGCCTCCCCTAATACTGCTCTTCCATACCAAGGTCAGTCATGCCATGTCTCTCTTCAAAACAGACCAAAGTCAGTAGCTCCCTACGGCCAAAAATCCCGGCCCACCTTTTGCTCCTGTCACCCCTACCCCAGCTGCCCTGTTGGCTGCTGCCCAGGGACCCTGTAAGCCGTGCATAGTCGCCGTCTCTACCAGGCCATGTATGGCTCTTCCCAAAATGCCGCACCTGGGTCCCATGCTCCCTGGATCAGCTTCCTGGGGTGGTTGTACCAAAGCATCACAAACCAGGTAGCTTAAACAACAAATATATTGTTTCATAGTTCTGGTGGTGAGGTGTCTGAGGTGAAGGTATTGTCAGGACTGGTTCTTCTGGTGGTTTACCAGTAATCCTTGACATTCCTTAGTGTGTTGGCTCACCATCACCCCATAGCTGACTCATGTTCACATGGCTTTCTCCCCATATGGGTGTCTGTGTCCACATTTTCCCTTTATTATAAAGACAGTCATATTGAAGTAGGGGCTAGGGCATGATTCAAATGACAGAGCACTTGCCTGGCAATTATAAGGCCCTGAGTTTAGTCCCCACTACCGCCAAACAAATGAATAAACAAACTTGGTTCTTACTTGAAATAAGGGCCCATCCTACTCTAGTGTGACCTCATTTTAACTAATTCTATCTATTGAGCCTATTTCCATGTACAATCCCGTTCTGAGGTACTGGGAGTTACAGCTTCAACATGTGAATTTGAGGGAGGAGCACTATTTGGCCTCATAATGTCCCTGACCCCTGCCTCCAGGGGCCCTCAGCTAGCACTGGTAACCCTCTCCCCTTCTGTGGCACATGGACCAGGAACTATCATCATCTTGAATGTCAGGGAAGTTTTCCCAGCCACCAAGGCTCATATACCTTAGTGACACCCTCATCTAAGCAGGTCCCATTAGATGGTGTGTGTCTGCCTCTGGATATTGTGTGAATATCCGTCCCAGCGCCCTGAGGGAAGAGGTCACCTTGCTCATCTTTACCCCACAGGATAATGATGTGAGCTATGATCTCCACCTCTGGAAGATCCTCCAGGTTGGGGAATGCTAGGCATGGGCTTCTACTGGGAGCTGCTCTAGCCTCACTTCTCATTTCTCATCCCTAGGAATGCTCCATCACCACTTGCTGCAGCTCTGACCCATGAGGCAATTTCCCAGCTGCTACGAACAGATCTGTCTGAATTTAGGAAGTTACCCAGGCAGGAGGAAGAGGATGATAACGAGGAAGAAGAGAAGGCTCCTGTGATCTGTGAGTTCTCTTCCCTCTCAGGTGGCCCTGGGACTGCTTAGCAAGTGATAAAGATGACATTGTAGACAGCATGTTGATCAAAGGGGTTGGCACCAGGGTACTCGCCTATGACGGTGGCAAGATGAAGGCGCAGAGAAAGCATAACACAGCAGCATGGAGCCAGCAAGGAGGCATGTGGCAATTAGTGCCCAGCTCATAGATATCCAACAAGACAGGGTATCTGGAGGGTGGTAGGTACTCTCCTAGGTCCTACATCACTTAAGCTTCAGAACAGCCGTTGGGAATGATGCCTATCCTGTTTTATATGAGAGGAACACAAGATTCTAACTGACAGTCAGGATGCCAGATCAAATACACTTGCTATTTTCCCTCAGCTAACACAAAGTCAGTCAGCAGAGTGACAAATCATCTAGTCTACAGGGACAGCATCGTGATCCAGATGGTAGAAAACACCAGTGTGCAGGCTCCATGCAGACTCATCTGAAGTGGGACCATTAGGTGGAGGCGCTCAGTGCTATCCATGATTCCATGGGGAGGCAGCAGTGGAGGTTCACCTGTCAGTGCTTCTGTCAGCCATCAGTGAGGCCAAGCTGTGGAATAGCATGGCATGACCACAGGAACCTCAAAACTGAGAGGCCTACAAAGCCATTTGACAGAGAATCTGCTTATTAAAATATAGGGCTCTTATTCTACCTAACTTTCTTTCCTAGTAATTGGTTTTATTGTATGTCACCAAGGTGTTGGTTTGCATTGAACCAAAACTATAGGGAGGGAAAGTGGCAGGCTTCAGGGGAGCTGCCACCAGGGGCCTTTGAGGCTTGTTTTCTAGTTGGAAATTCACTTCTGCACCAGCATCCAAGCAGTGAGAAGCAGAGTTTTCATCATCTGTCATTTCCTTTCTAATTGTATTATTTAAACTCAGCACTAGTCCATGCACAGAGGGAAGAGCAAGGAATAAGGTGGATGAAAAGAGAAAAGAAAAATACATGAGGTCTCTAGCTTCATGGGTGCCAGGTCTTTGTTCTCTTTTCTTTCTCGTCCCCTCATCCTTGGCTCCCTGCCCATGTTCCATCCAAGCACAGCCTTGTCTCCTGGACTGGGAAACCGCCATCCTCAGCAACAGGCAGCCATTGTTCTCTGCAAAGCCAGTAGGCTTCCAGCAGTGGCAGCTGCCACCACTGGGCCCCACAAAGGGAACATCTCCACCTCCCACCCCACCCTACTCTGCCTGTTTCCTCTGTCCATCCAGACAGGAGACAGTGTCACCTGCTGGTGGGAACGAGAACTGACATAGCTGAGCCCTATATCTGGGGTCTGTGAAGGAGGGAAGAGCACTGACAGAAGGAAATCACAGCTTCCCCTGCCCTGCCTCTCTGTCCTATAACAGTTTCATGCAGGCCTAGGCTAACAGCCATGATCACTCAAGGAAGCAGAACATAACAAGGTCTATAGTCTCCAAGCCATTTTTGCACAATTGCATCAGAGCAAGCATTGCTAGGTTCACTGCCAAAGGGCAGAGATGTACCTGAAGCACCTCTGTGCCTGCCAGCCAGCCTCTCCCCAGTGATAGTTATAAAAACAGACTTCCAGTTTCCTGAGGCTCCAGGACTGCAGCCCTTGACCAGAGGAGCAGACCAAGGCTCCAGAAGGCTGAGATCTGGGCATCACTGCAGAAGCTTCTTGTCCTCATTTGTAACTGCTAGGCAAGCACCCTACCACTGAGCTACATCCCCAGCCCTTGTAACTGTCCTTTACCTGAGCAAGATGCAAGTCCAAACACGTGAATGGAAGTTGCAACAAGAGAGGAAAAGACAGCCTATGACTGGGGACCCACTGTGTGCTTCAGAGCTGATAAGTGCCAGCGATTGCCAGAAGGCAGCTTTCCAAGCAGTTTTCTGAGCACAGCCTTTTGTAGGGGAGGTCTGGGAAGCAGCACCATGAGAATTGGTCAAAAGAGCCTCATAATCAGCAGGGGAAATGAGCCAAATGCATATGGAGCTGCTATACTTCCACTGCCTTCTGTAGACAGAGCCCTTCAGCCTGGACCTGCTAGTCCTATGGTTCATACCAAGTGTTTGAATGGGCCCCTGTCCTGGATACAGTGGCAACAACCAGTGCTATACCTCATCCCCTGCCCTGAAACAGGGTTTCCCTTGGACTCCTCCTTCTGTGGCTTTCTGTGCTCTTGGGCCATGCCTTTTGGCTTTTCCTCTGTGGCTCCCTCTGCCCTCAGCTCTTCTTCTTCAGCCATGCCTCTGTCTGGGAGCACTTTTTTCTCCCAGTTCCCCATGTCCTTTGGTTGTAGCCTATGTCACTTGGACTCTGCCCTGTTTTGTTACTTGACTTGAACTCCCCTCTTAGGAGACAAGCTCTGACTCACCTGTACCTGCCATGTGCACCTGCCTGGCAGGAGCCAGAGTCCTAGGAGGAGTTTGTGCATTGAATGAAAGTGACCCCTGAAGTCTCCTTTGGACTTCTTTAGAAGTGAGGCTTCAGTAAGATTTTATTTTCCTTGAAAATGAGCATTATAGGGTGTATTTATTTGTTGTTACATAATAAATTGCTCCCAAATTTAGTGACTTAAAACAAGTCATTTATGTCCCAGTTTCCATGGGTCTGGAATTTGAGAGCCCTGAGGATAAGTGGATAGGATAACCAGGATCTCATGAAGTTGTAGTCACACAGATTGCCACTGCCTGACCCCAAAGCACAACCCTCCTGAGATGGTGTAGTCACAGAAATGAGAGCATACATGCAAGCTGGAAGCTACAGTGCCTCTTATGAAATAGTGTCAGAAACCTTACATGGTCACTTCCACTTTACTGCATTCATCAGAAGCAGCTCATACGAAGTCCTACATTCAAGGGGAAAGAGCTGAGCTACATCTCATGCAAGAGTTCATGGATATATTTTAAAGCTGTCACATAGGACAAACACTTGTAATGGAAGCCTGAGAAAATATTTAATATTAAGTATACATAAGGGGCAAAAATTGATCATAGAACCAGCCTTACAGACATCCACTGCTGCCATCTTGGTTGTGCACCATTTCTGCCCGTTTTCTCTGGGTCTAAGTGGTTTATCTTTGTTTTTGTACTGGGGTTGCGCTTGCTAGGTAGGCACTTTACCAGTTGATTGTTCATGTACTTGTGATTGTTTAAACCATATATGTACTTCTCTGTCCTTCTGTCATGTAAAATTATGACATAAAAGTTTTACTTGCTTGAAAACTCTGTAAAAGTCCATTTCTGTTTTGCTGCTTAATTTTTTTAATTTTTTTGTTTTGAGATAATCATAACTGCACATGTAAAATAATGAAGAGATCGTATGTACACATTACTCCATTTCTTCCCCAGGGTAAAAGGAAGCACTTTACCACTTGAGCCATGCCCCCAGCCCTTTTTTTTGCTTTAGTTATTTTTCAGATAGGGTATCTTCCTTTTGCCCAGACCAGTCTTGAACTGCATTCCTCCTACATCTGCTTCCTGCATAGCTGGGACTAGTGGTGAACACCACCACATCCAGCTTGTTCTTTGAAATAAAGTCTCACTGTTTGTCCAGGGTGGTCTCAAACCATGATCCTCATATCTCTGCTTCCCAAGTAGGTAGGATTACAGGTATGAGCCATTGCTCCTGGCCAGGAGTAACATCTTATCATAAGCAGGATCTTAACATAGTCAAATACAGAACAGTTCCTTTGACACACGGATCCTTCATGTTACCCTCTCATGGCCACCTCACACTGCCACCCTTCACCTACCCAGGTCTCTAACTACTGGCAATTACTAATCTCCATTTCTATAATTTTATCATTTCAAGAATGCATACCAATGGAGACATACAATATGTAGCTTTGGGAGATTGTCTTTTGCACTCAGTATAATTCTATGGAGAATAACCTAAATTGTTCCACATATCAGTAATTCTCTGTGTTCTGTTGCCAAGTTGTACTCCAAGGTCTGGGTGGACTGCTGCTTGTTTAGCTAGTTGTGTTGAAGGATTCCAGATTTTGGCTGATATGTTAAAGCCACTATGAATATTTGTGTGCAAGTTTTTAGGTGAACAGACTTCATTTTTCTGGGATTAGTGCCCAGGAGTACAATTGCTGGGTCATAGTGTAGTTGCATGTTAGTTGTGAAAATCATTTTTAATAGAAGCTTAATTCCTTATCAACAAAATAGACCAGTATTTAATTGTTCTTCTGTCATTGGATATATAGTGTTTCTAGTTAGTGGGCAATTATAAATAATTCTGTACTTTACCTTTAAACTATTTTAGCATTTCTGATGATCTCCTTGCAGAGGGTCCCATGAATGGACTTAAGTTCATTGTGGCCTAGGAGACTTCTTGTTACATACTGTCAAGAAAAGCATTTCTAATTTGGGCTGGGGATATGGCTCAAGTGGTAGAGTGTTTGCTAGCATGTGTGAGTCCCTGGGTTCAATCCCCAGTACCACAAAAAAAAAAAATTAATATGCTTAAGACAGGCTGTCATGCACAGTTTAGTAGGCTGGCATGTTCAGTATGCCCTGGGAGGTGACTGGCTGGTGGGAGCTATCTGTAAAACTGGGGATGGCAGGGAAAGGATTTGGGGAAGCCAGTGAAGCTGCTGTTGTATGATTTGTACTTCTCTAACCATTCCTTTGTCCTTCCCAACAGTGCTAGATGCCAAAGGCCTAGCACGGAGTTTCTTTAACAAACTCTGGGAAGTATGCAGCATGTGGCAGAAGCAGTTACCATTGATGGCCCGGACACCACAGCAGCAGTGGCTGGTCTCCATCCATGCCATCAGGAACACTCGCCGCAAAATGGAGGACCGGCATGTGTCCCTTCCTGCCTTCAATCACCTCTTTGGCTTGTCTGTGAGTGTTCCACCTTCATGGCCCAGGGGCAGGCAGTGTCCACCACTGGAACAGCATAGGGGAACTTAAGCAGGAGGTGGGGGACCCTGTAGGTCAAGAAGAGCAACTAAAGCCAAGCCAGAAGAAACACTTCTCAGCTGCTATCTCAAGACTGAGGTGCTGGGTGGCTCTCACAGTATTTCCCTGGGGAGTCTGGGAGGCCTAATTCATAGCACCAGCACCTTTGGGCTAGGCTGCCAAGCTCCCTGCTTTCCTCTGCAAAGAACTGAAAAAAGGGTAGCAGTTGGCCTATGTCTGTTATAAGGGGAGGCTCCAGTGCCATGTTCAGACTTGTATTGCTGAGCACAGCTCAGCCTTCTGCACTGGGAGACCCTGGTACATCTTACTTCATTTTATGCTTGTACAGCATACATTCTATGCTGGTACAGGTGGTGAAACTGAGGCTCCAAGGGCTGTACTTTTCCAAATCTCCCAGCTCATAAGTACTTGAACCAAGTTTATTGGTGTGATGGTAAATGCCAGGCTGATTCTTCCAGACCCTGCCTGTCTCAATCTGATTTCCATTGCTGTATCAGATTACCTGAGACTGGGTAATTTACAAAGAAATGAAGATTCTACTGTGTGTTCTGGAGACCAAGAGGACCAAGGTCAAGGAGCCTCATCTGGCAAGGGCCTTCGTGCTGATGGGGATTCTGTGCAGAGTCCTAAGGTAGCACAGGGGATTGCGTGGTGAGACAGAACAACTTCACCAAAGAGAGCTTGCTTTCATAAAAAACCACTCCTTCAATAACCCATTAATCCATGAATAGATTCATTCCAATTACTTCCCAAAGGTCCCACCTCCAAGTAACATTAATGTAAGACTTTGGGGATTAAGTTTCTGACACACAAATTCTGGGGTACATACATTGAAACTGAAGCACTGCCCTATTCAGTACATAGGCTCACTGCCCCACAAGATGAGAGCAGCTACCCAGGGCCCCAGCCTCAGTCAAGTGCAAGGCCGGCGGGTCTGTGACCACCACTGTATTTTCCATCAGGACTCTATAGATCGTGCCTACTTTGCTGTGTTTGATGGTCACGGAGGCGTGGATGCTGCACGATATGCTGCTGTCCATGTGCATGTCAACGCTGCTCAGCGGCCAGAGCTGTCCACAGACCCTGCCAGAGCCCTCAAACAAGCCTTTCAGCACACCGATGAAATGTTTCTCTGGAAAGCCAAGCGAGAGGTAAAGAACCGACAGCCAGGTCTCAAGCGCCACTTAGGGTCCGTTAGCATCAGAGGGAAAGAAACCAAAGTGGTTGGTGGTGTGGAAGACCTTTCCTAAACATTGCCAGAGATCGTGCCATTTCATTCTTACAGGAAGATGGCTCGTTTTTATTTGAATGAAAGCAGCACAAATCTCACCCTTTGAATTACTCTGGTTTCCTGTTACTACAACAAAATGCCTGAGGCTGGGTAACTTTATAAAGATGAGCTTTATTTTGGCTCTTGGTTCTGGAGGACCTCACCTGATAATGTTCTTGCTGGCAGAATCTCTAAGTGGCTCAGCATATCTCATAGTAAGAGACAGGGAGTATATGTGTGTATTTATGTATCTTCTGGCCTCCCTTCTTCCACATAAAGCCACCAGGACTCAACCAAGATGGCTCCATTCCCAGAGGCACCCCCTTTAAATACCAGAGTTGAGTTGAGTTTCCACCCTGTTGGTACCCTACAATGGGGATTAAATTTCAACACATGAAGCCTTGGAAGACACTCAAACCATCTGTGTACCACAGCATCTCTGATCCAGCATGCTGGGCCTCCAGCAGCATACACGTATAGACTGTCTTCAGGCCATGGGAGTAAGGGCCACCTGTTTTAAAATATACCTGGGACTTTTGTTTTAATCAAGTATAGTAAGGTGACAGACAAGTGCTTTGAAAGAAGTTTATTGCTTAGAGCTCCCAAGAGGAGGAAGTACACCACGCCACACAAAAAGCACCTGGGTGCCAGGGTCAGTCAGAAGAGAGGCAAGCACAGCCTCTGGGGAAGGTCCAGGCAAGGCCAGGCAGGCAAGTCCCAGCAACTCAGGATTGGATAGCTTGAATAACCTCAGTTTGTGCTGAACTACAAGGGTAGCCACCAGCTGTCCATCACCTGACCTGAATCCACACAGGGCAGGGGAAACTTTGGCCCAATAGATGATAAAGGAAGTGTTTGGGAGTACAAGGTACAGACAAGTAGACTTGCCCATGGAAGGTGTACGCTCAGGGCAGGTATTTCCTGGCTCTAGGAATGATTTAGCCCTGGGAAAGGCAGTGTCTCCAAGATCAACAGTGCCCCAGATTGTCAGTTTATCATAACATACAGAAAATGCAAACCATGGTCAGGTGCAGTGGTACACACCTGTAATCTAACCTACTTGGGAGGCAGAGATCAGGAGGATTGCAATTTGAGACTAACCCAGGCAAAAAAAAAAAAAGTTAGTGAGACCCCATCTCATCCAACAGGCTGGGCACAGTGGTACACATCTGTAATCCCAGTTACATAGGAGGCTGTAAATAGGAGGATCACAGTCCAAGGTTAGCTCTGGCCAAAAACACCAGCCCCAATCTGAAAAACAACTAATAGCAAAAAGGACTAGGTACATGTCTCAAGTGGTAGAGTACCTGCTTAGCAAGTGCAAGGCCCTGAGTCCAAACACCAGTTCTCAAAAAAAAGAGAAAAGGATTAATACACTGTCCCACCTACCTCGGTTTAGCCTGGTCTCAGCAGGCTGCTGGTATCCAGTGGGAACCTTCTGTCACGTGTAGGGATGAAGCATTTATTTCAGAAAGAAAACACTGGGCCTCTCCTCTGTGAACTTAACCATAGCGAACTTTACTTCTGTGGGCCCTCACAGCACCCCAAAGTTGGATTCTAATATTGTGTCCATTTTAGACATTGGGAAACTGAGGCTCAGACTGCTTAAAAGACCTACCTAGAGGGAGGCACTCTGTTATCACACGTTGTTACCACAGACAGTGGGATTCAGCAGAGCCAGACTTTACATCTCAATAGAAAGCCATAGAGCATCTAAAACCATATGGTGGGGAGCCTGATGGAAAACTGACACACCTCCTCTCCTGGCTACCGTCATCCCCAGCAGGTGAAAAAGACCTGTGAGCTCAGGGCTGCTTCAGAATAGAGAAAGGAGTCTCTAGAGTAGGTGCTTATTAATGTGGTTTTTTTTTTTGTCTTTGTGTTGCTGGGGATCAAACCCAGGTCCTCACATGTGTTAGATAAGTTCTCTACCAGTGAGCTACCTCTTCCACCCCTGTTATTTTCTTTAAACAGTTTTATTGAGATATAACTGACATACAATAAATTGCACATATTTAAAGTATAAAATTGAATACTTTTTGACTTATATACACACACCCATGAAACTTCTACTCCAGTAGTGGGACATAGAATCATCACACCCAAAAGCTCCTTCCTGCCCTGTGTCATCCCTGTCCTCCTTCCCTTCCGTGCCTCCTCCCTAGACTCACTCTTTTGCTTCCTGCAGTGTAGACAAGTTTGCAGTTCACAAGTATAAACTGGATCCCTCCTGCACAGTGTAACTCTGAGTATTGTCCTGGCCATTGTGGAATTGTGTAGTCCGCCTTCCTTCTCACTGAGTGCTATTCTAGTGGTGGTGCAGTTGTATTGCACAGGCACCAGGTCATACTTCACCCCACGTGGGTTCTCTCTCCCTGCAGCGCCTGCAGAGTGGTACCACAGGTGTGTGTGCGCTCATTGCTGGAACGACACTGCACATTGCCTGGCTCGGGGACTCCCAGGTCATCCTGGTGCAGCAGGGACAGGTGGTGAAGCTGATGGAGCCACACAAACCTGAGCGACAGGTAAGAAGCTCCTTCTGCTCAAGCCCAGGACATTCCCAGGTTCCCATCATGTTGGGTCCATGTAGGAGGCCCAAGCTTGGGATCTCATAGAGAAGGAGAATATTAGGAGGCCCCAACTAGGTATTTGTTGCAGCAGGTTAGGAAGCACAGGAGGCCCTGTAAATTCCTGGTGCTCATTCAGAAAGAGACCTGAGTAATCAAGGGATTCCAAGTGAGCCCTTCCTGAGAGCTCTGTGGATCACAATGACATGGAGCCCAGAGTTCCAGGTGAGAGTGAGGCCCTGTCCCTCAACAGGCAGCCCAGGCAGGAGTCAGCTCAGCCCAGCACAGAGTTTCATGGTGCACTCAGGCAAAGAACAGCCAACCACAGGTTGAGAGCAAGGAAGTGACCCTGCACCGGCTGGGCAGGAAGCAACCAGTCTTGGGGCTTCAGTAAGTGAAGCTACACTGGGATCCTGGAACTTGGATCTCACTTATCAATTTGAGCCTCGGGTCCTTATCTGGAAATGAAAATGACATTGCTGCTCAGACCATACCTCACAAATGTGTCTTGTCTGTCTATCTGTCTTCTGAAGTCAGAGAGAGAACACTTGGATGTCAAGGAATGCATATATACTTTCCACACCGCTCCACACTGGCCTTTTTTTATTTTTTTTCCCCCATGATATCTATTTACTTCCCACACAGTTGACTCATCACCGTAGTTCGTGTGCCCACGTTAGCACACCTCACTGTGTGGAGAGCTGTGGTTGCCAGTTGTGCCCCTTCTACTGGCTATCTGCACACACACGATACTGCCTCTACTCACACAGTGATGCCTCTACTGCCGTCACAAAACTGCAGATGGTTTGAGGACACCTGAGCTTGCCTCTCTCCCCAGAGCTGAGCAAGACCACAGGTACGTCTGCAGTGGCCACACTTCCTGGATGGACCTTCCTTCCCTGGAAGCAGCTCTGTTAACCATTTCAGGGTCCCCTACCCTGAAACAGAAGGGGAGGACCCCAGGCTTATTAGACACCCATGAGTTCAAGGACATCTGCACTGACTTTTTTCGCTTAACTGTACCTAGTGGGCCATTCCTGAATATCAGCACATCCAGTCCCTGTGGTTAAACACTGAGAGCTTCAGTGTTGCAATGCTGAAAACATTGTGGCAGTACATAAACTTTGTACGTTACATCGTCCAGGGTCAAGTAGATCTGTAGATCTGTAGAACAAAATTCTAGAAGTGGAGGTACAGTGTCAGAGTAGACACACATATTGTCTTGGTAGATTAGTCCATCTGAGTTGTTTAGTTTGCTTTTCTCTTACAGAACATGTTTGAACATCTTTCCAAAGTTTAAGATCCTTTATATTGCCTTTCCTTTGAGGGCTCTGACCCTGCCCTTTGCCTGTTTCTCTTACTGATTTGTAGGTACCTTAGATATGTCAAGGAAGTTGGCTCCTGTCAGATGGTTTGCAAATTTTTTCAATACTTGTTCCTTTTTTGTCTTGTTTGCAGGCTTTTTGCCATGTAGGAGTGTTGGGTTTTCTGCAGTAGTGTCAAGAGTCTTTTCTTTTTGTGGCTTATAGATTGGGAAAGCAGGACAGAGACTATCAGGTGTTGCTTATAGTAGCAGTCAGGGATAACAGTGTTCCTTGGCCTCCCACTGCAGGTCATGGTCTGGGCGACATTAAGCAGAGGAGAGAATTGAGACTCAGAGGTTCTATTAGTTGCCCAGAGCATATCTGCCACTCTGTTGGTACTAGCACTGTGGGGGAGTGGCACCCACTCCCTGGTGGTCCCTCCACCAGCAGGTGAAATGCAGCCAGGTCTAGATGAGATGTGAACCTGTGCTAGAGCACTGGGTCCACTCTCACCCACTGCCTGCACCCCTACCAGCTTGTGTCCAATACCTCTGAAGTCCAGTGGGGACCTTGTCCAAACAGTGCCTGATCCCCACAGGTTTGCTGTGGCAGAGCATAGACAGGTGGCCCTGATTCCACCTCTCCCGAATCTCAGGTTCCATATCTGTTGGGAGAAAGGGACTTGAGTAAGTATTGAGTGACCGGTCCCTAAAATCATTGCCCCCATGGCACAGGACTGTCATACCCAAGTGTCAAGAGTCTTCTGACCCATAGCCTGCAGGGGCCCGAGACTAGATCCCACCTTCCTCTGCCCCTGACAACTACTGCAGTGGCTGCACAGATTACATGGGGTCCTATGTCACTATCTTGTCCTGCCACTGGAGTCAGTTCAGGCCAGTAGACATTTAGCACCTACTCTGTACAAGATACATTGCTGAGACAGCAGGATAAGACAGGACCCATGTCCTGCTTCCCCAGAGTTATCTGTCTAATGGAGGACAAGGTGTAGCAGGTGAGACTGCAGAGTGCTGGGGAGAATGTGGCAGAGAGAAAAATGAGAGTGAGGGATGGCGTGACCTCAGCAGGCCAGTGGCAGCTTTAGCAGGAAACAGCAGGTTATACCAGAACCAGCCTCAAGAGACTCAGAGGCCACTAACCACTGCTCCTCCTTCCAGAGCTGCCCTGAGCCAGGACGAATTCCACAAGGAATCACTGGAAGCTTCCATAATGTCCAGACCACCAGAGGGAAAGCTGAGGGCTGGGTCAGAAATGAGAGAGGCCCAGAGAGTTGCAGGAATCATTTGTAGTTAAAGTTTATGACAAGTTCACAATGGGGAGGACCTGCCTGGCAAGGTAGTCTCAAGAGAGGCAAAGGGAGAAGCCCGGGCTTTGGTGAGACAGGCATGGAAAGGGCATGAGGACTCCAAGAGGATGGTGATGCTGTGGGTGGCTGGCACTGGAGCAGAGTGAAGCTCAATCACAGGGAAAAGGAGATGTGGCTGTTAATGGGAACTGCTAGGCTCTAGCTTAGGGTTTGACCTGGGAGAGACCGTTTCAGAAAAGTGGGGAGAATGAAGGAGGAGGAACAGAAAGAAGAGCCACTAGAGAGAGCCAGGCACCAATGGCTCATGCCTGTAATCCTAGCTACTCAGGAGGCAGAGATCAGAAGGATCGCGGTTCAAGGCCAGCCCTGGCAAATAATTTGTGAAACCCTATCTTGAAAATACCCAACACAAAAAAAAGTTGGCAGAGTGGCTCAAGTGGTAAAGCACCTGCCTAGCAAGCATGAGGCCCTGCATTCAATAACCACCAAAAAAAAAAAAACCCACTAAAGAAGGATTTCTGAGGAGACAGGAGGCAAAGATAGAAGTGTCTTGAGCCCAAGGACCCTGTAAGAAAAAGCTAAGCAAGCCAGCACAGGGATAGGACATGGGTGCTAAATAGTGAAAACCAAGTGGGAGCCACAGGAGGAGAGAAGACCTCAGGTGCAAGAACAGGGTTACAGAGCCACCCTCAGCGAGATGGACCTGCTCAGCACTGGTTCCAGAGCCTGGGCAGCCTGCACAGACAAGGTTGGCCTATTGGCAAAGGGGACCCAGCTAGGAGTTTCCAAATTGCACAGCTGTCAAGGTAGGGGGTCTCAGGCCTAAGTTCCCAGCTCAGCTCTATCCTCACAACCTCTATCTGGGGCCTGGGGTTTCAGGAAGAAGGGTTCTGTAGCTTAGAAAGCTCAAACTCCCTGCTGCCTCTCCCTGAAAGTCAAAGGTAGATGGGTGTGGTTTGTGCACCCCCATCTCCAGGGGTCTCTGGGAGCAGCTTGTAGTTCACCCTTAGTCACCCCTCCTCACTGTCCCCACCTCACAGGCATTGAGGATTTGAGGTGGGCTAGAGCACGTGGGAGACAAGTAGAGAAAGACTGACAATTCTAAACTGTCTTCCCATGGATGTAGGCTAAAGGTGGGCTCACCCCCCCCACCACCACCAAAGGAAAGCCTCCAAGGCAGGGGGTGCTCCCATCCACAGTTCCTCACTGGTCTCTAGGCCTCTGTACTTGTGAATGTGCACACGTGTGTGTGAACATGTGTGTGGACCTGCATGTGTAATGTTTGCCCCTCCTTCCCGCTTCTTTCTCACCATCTATTCAACTCTTCCTGCCCTCCTGGCCCTCCTTGCACTTCTGGCCCTGCTTAGACCACAGAAGGAAGGGAGCCTCAGACCTGAGGTCCCCTAGTCCTGCCTCTTTCGCAGGTTAATAATCATCCCCTCCCCCTCCCCGGCTAAGATTCCCAGCCTACAAGGCACGCATCCTGCCACTGTGCAGACCTGTAGCAGCACAGGAGGATCAGGGAGCCTGGCATTCCCACTGTGACACCTTGGCGAGGAGAACTGCGTAAGGAAGCCTAGTCCTTTGTGCCAGCATGCAGACAGAGGCCAGTTCCCCAGACCTCCCTCACTGGGTCCCGTCCTAAACAAAGGTGGGGAGGAAGAAGGAAGACCAGGCCAACATCCCAGTCTTTCCAGCCAACACTCTCCCCTGGGGCACCAGGGTTCTCCTGCTGAGCCGGTGCTGTGCTCTGGGCCCACCGTGAGTGTGCCATGAGGTCAGGAGGTTTTCCTGACAAATAAAACAGGGCTAAAGGATGCCGTCCCTCCCCCGGTGACATGCACAGAGCTCCCATGCGGCACGTGGGGTGCACTCAACAACAGGCTCGTGTTCTCTTGGGGAAATTGATAGGACCAAAGAGGTTTTCCAAGAGACTTGGGTCTAGACCAAGCCTCTGTCCTGTCCCCTGGGAGGCAGTTAGGGTTGGAGTACTGTGGTCCTCTGGCAAGGGGAGACAGTGCCTGGAGGTAAGCTTGGTAGGAAAGATGAGAAAGGAGTGGGCTCAGGGCATCCCCCAGGACCTGACTCAGGCTTCTTGAGCCCTGCCATGTGGCTACACATAATGTCACACATTTCATCTCATCCCAGTTACTTTCACATTAGAGACAGCAGCCCAAGTAAAAGATGAGGAAGCGGAGGGGGCCACCATCCAAGTCTAGGCTGGCATCTTTCTGCTGCTTCCCGAGCACCTCCTTAGTTCTGAAATTCTGCTTAGGGACATGGTCATGACCTTTTGGCCCCAAGCGGTCCCTTTGTGTTTGCACCATCCCACTTAGGTTATTTGTAGTTCTCACTGTTTTGTTTGGTGGGGAGGGGGTTGGTGGTATAGGATTTGAACTCAGGGCCCTGTGCTTGCTAGGTAAATGCCTTACCACTTGAGCCACACACCCCCGCCCTCCCGCTTGTTATTGAGACGGAGTCTCACTTAATTTTTTTGGCCAGACTGGCCTGGCACTATGAACCTCTCATCTCTACCTCCCTCGTAGTTGGGATTACAGGCATATGCCACCACACCTGGCCCTTATAGTTCTCACTGTATTTTTAATGTCTAATTTGGGTACATTCTAAACCTCCTGAACTGATGTAAGCGCTGTGGCCTTAAATGCATCTTAGAAGCCAGCTCAATGTCTTGGCTTGTGTAGTGGTGTTGGAGCGCCCCCCTACTCAGCCCTGACTCTTATCACTGTCTCCCCACAGGATGAAAAGGCACGCATTGAAGCTCTGGGTGGCTTTGTGTCTTTTATGGACTGCTGGAGAGTCAATGGGACCCTGGCTGTCTCCAGAGCCATCGGTAAGGGGGAGCAGAACCTGGCACAGAGCATAGGAAAGCTGATGGGAACTTAGGCCTCAGACTGTAGCCACAGATCCACCCAGTGGTTTAGGACAGAGTGTAATGAACCTAAAAAAATCTGCAGTATATAAATGCTCCTCAACTCATGTTGGGGGGGGGGAGTGGGAGGGGGCATTGACCACCAAATAAACCCCTGAAAATATTGTAAATCCAAAATGTAATTAGACCACCTAACCTAGCAAGCATCCTAGCTTAGCTTCAGTCTACTGTAGGCTCCTTACTATTTTCCCTCAGGATGGTGGGCTGACTGGGAGCTGCCACTGTCACTACCTATCACTGAGAGAGAATTAGACCTTGAATCTCTAGCCCAGGAAAACATCAAGGAAGACCAAAGCCACCACTGCCCATCTCCCTCTCCTGAGGGGTCCTGTTCTCAGCTTCTTCCTTACAGCCTGTCTTATGCTGCTGCCACCACTTTATCTTTGGATACACCAGGAGGGAGGCCGACAAGGGTGGGGGCAGCAAGAGCTGGAGTGAGAGCCCTCTCCAAATGGAGATTGTGGAATGGGCTCACAGGCCACCATCAAGAAGGTGCCACTCCAAGGGGGTGAGAAGTAGTAGGTGGGTTTGAATAGGGGGCCTACAGATAGCGGATTGGGCTTAGGGGAGCTTAGGGGTGGTAACAGGTAGTAAAGTCAGGGCCTGGGTAGGTGAGGAAGAAGCACATCCACTAACACAAAGGCTCTTCCATCCTCTGCCCAGGGGATGTCTTCCAGAAGCCCTACGTGTCTGGAGAGGCAGATGCAGCCTCACGGGAGTTGACAGGCACCGAGGACTACCTGCTGCTCGCCTGTGATGGCTTCTTTGATGTTGTCCCTCACCAGGAAGTCACCAGCCTTGTCCGCAGCCACCTACTCAAGCAGAAGGGTAATGGGCTCCACGTCGCTGAGGAGCTGGTGGCTGCAGCCCGGGAACGGGGCTCCCACGACAACATCACAGTCATGGTGGTCTTCCTCAGGGACCCACAAGAGCTGCTGGAGAGTGGGGTCTTGGGGGCAGGGGACTCCTAGACAGATATGAGAAGTTAGGTGGCACAGTCCCCTCCACCCTTTAAGCCCCCTCCCCACCCTTGTGACTGTCCCCTTCAGAGGCCTTAGGACCTGACAGGCAGTAGTGGGCAGGGGGTGCCCACTCATACAGCACTTCCCCCAGCACCCCACGCCATTCATGGTGCTTGCCACAGCCTGTCCTGGTGACTGCAGAACTGTCAGGCAGCAGGTAGATCTCAGAAGCATAGGAAAAAGACCTCACCAAAGAGAAGGTAGCCCTGGAAGTGAACCAACTCTTGCTCCCGCCTTCCATCAGGCAGGGTTGAGACTAGAGACCATAGCCACTTTGTGGCACCTGACTTATGTGTGGATCCGTGGGGTGTGTCCATGTGGAACCCTCAGGCAGGCCCAGGAGCCCCAGGCACCTTCAAGCACATTGTGGGGTTAGGACCAGCAAGCAGTGTCCAACACAGCTTTGTCCTGGCTTTTCACAGTAGCCTGGCCTTGGCTGGGGAGGGTTCATATTGACAGATAAGCTCAGCAGGTCCCGGTTGACCATGCTGGCTCCCCAAAGAGGAGAGAGTGGCCTCATCTGAAGTAGGGAAGCCCACAGCTGCCACCCAGCTGCATGCCAGCTGCATGAGATTTAATTATTTGCGGGGCCACCAGACTCTGGGCTTCTCTCATCCCTGGACACCCCGGGGAGGTGAAGCTCAGAATCCACAATGACACGATGATGTGTCTTTTGTTTGTGTTTAGATTTATTCCAGGGAAAAGTCTAATTCAAAAGCAGTATTTCAGGTTTTATCTTTGTTTTTTCAGTGCCAAGATGACCCATGGTGTCATATAATTTAAGGAGAGCTGAGCATTTATTTTATTCCTTAGAAAACTTAAGTATTTCCTTTTTTTTTTTTTAACCGTTTTCTTGTGGAAACCTTTTTTTGCAGTATTACTGTTTTTTTTCTAAATCAGGATTGAAACAGAAATTTTCCAGGTGGTGTTAATAAGCCGCTTAAGTGCCTTAAACTGCTTTGGAGGAGAGGAGAGGAGAACCGCCTGCTGGGCCTGTGGATCCCAATAGGCGTATTGAAGGTCTCACAAAATCAGCATTTATGTTGTTAGAAATGCATGACGGGTTAGGAATCTTTCAGGAAGAGTTCTTTTGCCTCTGTGATGTCTGACAACCTCTGGAGCTTCCCTGAGGTGTTTAGCAGGAGCCATAGCTGTAGTGGGCTGGGACCTGGGCCCAAACGTAGGGCTCTGAGTATCTGAGGTGACATACGCCTCCTTACCCACCCTCTGGGCTCTGCCATGCATATCTCTGGCCAGATCCCAGGCAGTGAGACCATACTGCTATTTGACTGGAATGTTCCAGAGTGTCTGTTTTAATCACATTGCTTTCACTGGGGAAAATGCTTAATTAAGAGTCTCTGGCAAGCCCAGAGGCAGACCAGTGTCTCCAGTTTTGCCCAGAGACAGCAGGGATGCCACTGGCATTCTGACAACACCAGCCACAATCCCTTGTCTGGCTCCTCTAGCTAGTGTCCCCTGCTGGGCTCTGCCCTGTAGCCTGACCAGCCTCAAGAGACACTGGGAAGGTGATGCTTAGGAGCCTCAAAGGGTTCACATAACCTGTGAAGAGTTAAAAGTGCCAAGACAAATAAGGAAGCCAGACAGAGGACAGGGACACCGAGTGACAGAAGGACCCAGGAGGCCCCTGGGAGCAGCTTCAGAAGGAGGGTCCAAGCAGCAGCAGGGCTGTACAGAGGCTGGCCGGTCCAGAGGGCAATGAGTGGCTTAGCAGAGGGGAGGGAAGACAGCTTGGCTGTGAGGTCCCCATGGATATGATCAAGTCTACCTGTAGACAGCAGGGCCCCAGTAAGGGCTGCAGAGCTTTGCTTCTAGCACCTTGGGCCTCAGCTCACAGACAGGGCAGGTACACGAGTGCACCTATCCCAAGGTGAGTCCACTGTCCAGCAGGAAGGGAGGGAGCCAGCCTTTGATGAGGCATGCCAGCTGCATACTTGGGTTCTGCCCTTATTTCCACTGCAGGGATGAAGGATTTGAGACCCTGTGGTCTATCCCCTGCTCAAGGTCTCCTGATAGAAAACATCTTAAACACAGTTAGAGAATGATTGGCCACCAACAATGATCAGGTATCACTTAGCTTAACTTGAATGCCCTGCTGCCTCCTTAGGGTCAGAAACCAGGGCCCCTGGTGCCATCTCAGCACAGGGCTGGGCAAGACACAGAAACATGGCTCCACCTTTCACTGGCAACCCATCCTGACTGTGGCAATGACCTTGACAGAGAGGGAGGTGTTGGCTTCTGTTTTTCTCTTTTCTTTGCTAATCTTAATTGTGCTCATTGCTGCTGAGAGTGGAGTTTCTGAGTGGGAGGTCTGGATAACACTATTTGGTGGTGGGATTCACACCCTAATGTGAGGTTCTCAGGCCTCAAAGTAGAGGGAAGCCCTTCCCCAAGCTCATCAGAGCACCTCCCCTGACCCCTGAACTGGCAGCTGCTGTGGGGAGGACCAAGCTCCTGCCTGGCAGAGGTCTGGGGCCAGCAGTAAAAGCAGCTCCACCCTTAATTTGTGGTGGAGGGAGCCCTCTTTCTCCCATGAGGACTGGCCTATGCTAGCTCGTAGATACAGAGGAGGGCCCTTCATCTGAACCAGGCGCCACCATGTACTTCCAGCTTCCAAGACTCCTGGGCCACCTTCTTCTCATGGTCCCAAAAGAGCCCCTAGCCAGGGATACTGGTCTGGAAATCTGACTCCCCTTCTCAAGTCCCAGCTTTGCCACAAGCTCATTGAATGAGCTGAGCACATCATACACCTCTGTGGGCCTCAGTTTCCTTTTCATAAGGCACAAGAGTTGCACAGCGTTTGTAGCAGCTCCAATCTGGAATTCTGGAGGTGCAGGGGCTACTCGAGGTAAGCTTGACACGTCCTATGGAGATGCTGCCAGGCAAGGAGGCCCCTCCTCCACCGCCCCACGGAGGGGTGATTAAGTATTATTAGTGTCTATTCTTAAAATTAAGTGGGTTGGAAAAGAATCTAGTTACAGATGCCAGCGCCTTATATGGAATACAAAAGCCAGAGCAATCAGACCCTGCTTTCACAGGTACAGCTGACTCCCAGCTGAGGCCGGCAGGGGTAGGAGGGGGGGGGGCACAGCCAGGCTATGGTGAGTTTCCATTTAGAATCCAGGATAGGTGATGGGTGTGTCTTAAGGAGGATAGGGACATGGTGTTGGCAGCATAGCCATTAGGGTCTCAGGCTCCATGGGGAAAGCATGGGCCTTGAGTCAGTCTTGGGCAAGCCCCTGCCATTAACTGTGTTCTAACTCCTGCCCTCTTAGGGGCCAGCATGCAGCCCCAGTCCACGTCCCCTTCCCTGGCATGGTGAGTTCCGACATGGGCATCCTGGCTACCTCATCAGTATTCCCAGGGCTAGAAGGACGGCTTTCGCCATTCCTAGGCCTGGCCTAACCTCCACCCAAGCTACATGGAAGCCAGGTTGATCTATGTAAAATAAGCTGTGTTTCCAGTTTGATTCTGCCTCCATAGCCCAAGGGGCAGCCCGTGGAGTCCTGTGCTTTCACCAAGGCTCCACAGCTTTGCCAAATGTGCCAAGCTTTGCCATTCACTTGCCATGTGGGCCTTGCCAAGGATTTTTCTGTGCATGCCTCAGTGGGCTTCCTGGGAGTCATGTTCCAAGACATGATGACTGATCCCCCTGGTCTTACAGACAAACCCCAAGGTGAAGGGGCCAGAAAGGCAGTCTCCTAGCAGAGGCCCACTGTGCTAATGTGTCAATAAACCACAATTTCTGAGATTCACCTGAGTCCTGCTTTCTTCTCTCACCTCTAAGCACCTGGTCCCTGGGATGTCAAGGCTATATCTGGAAGCAGCTAAGATGCTGGACCATCTATGAAATCTTGCTGAGTCTAACCAACTGATTTTTGCCCCAGGGCTCTGAACCCACCACCAGCAGCCCCAGGAGGGTGCCAGGAGAGGAATAGGGCTTCAGGAGTATCTGAGGTGCCTCCTTCAGCCAGGAGCCTGAAGTGCCCCAGGTATCTTGCTACTGAGCCTGACACACTTCACAGCCAGACTTGGACCCACCTTGTAGACATAAGCCCTCACAATAGCTCCCGAAATACGTTAAAATCAAAGCACTATGTGTTTCTTCTGTCGCCATTCCTGTCACCTGCCTGGCATTCTGCCCTTATTCCACACAAGGCTGTGCTCACCACCCAACCCAAGACAAGCAGCCTGCAGGATTAGGACAAGGGCAAAAAAACCTTAGGCAAACCTGGGCACACAGTGGGGAGCTCAGCTTGCTGCTGGGGCTTAAGAGAGAAAAGGCCTAGAAGTGAATCCACTAAAATTTCACTGCTGGTAATTCCTAAGGACCAGGATTGTGGGCTATTCTTTCCCCCTTTTAAGTTTTCCTCTAAATTCTAGTGAACATGCTTTTAAAATGTCTTTACAAAGACCCATGTAGGCCTGGTGCACTGGAGTCCAGGAAAGGTGCATTGGCAAGGCATGCATTTGGTGACTGTAGGGATTCACTAGCCCTGAGAGGGGCAGTGTCTCCAGGATCAACAAGGCCCCAGATGTCAGCGTATCATAAAATACTGAAAATGCAAACCATGACTGGGCACAATGGTGCAAATGTATAATCACAACTACTCAGGAGGATCGAGGTTCAGGACCAGCCCAGCAAAAAAGTTGGTGAGACTCTGTCTCAACCAACAAGCTGGGCACTGTGGTGTTTGCCTATAACCCCCGCTATGAGGGAGGTCATTAATAGGAAGATAATGGCCCAAGGCAAAAACTCAAGACCCTATCCAAAAAATAACTAAAAGCAAAAAGGGCTGGAAGCATGGCTCAAGTTCCTGCCTAGGAAGCATGAGGCTCCCATTTCACCATTCCGCGCCCTCCGCCCCCGTCAACACACACACACAAGACAAGGAGATCAGCCAGCAACAAAGCCAATGATAAGACCAGGGTCTTGGTACAGACCTGAGAGTAACCAGGGGAGCCAGGGTAAGGGGGTAGAGGGCAAATTCTTGTGCAGCCCCCTCCCCATGTGGCTTCACATGGTAGGCAGGACTTCACTGGTAGGCAAGGACAACAATTCCTGGTAAAAAGGCCTGGGCCCGCAGGTTCCTTTGTGGCCAGAGGTTCTAGCCCCTCAAAGTTGCCTGGACAGGTATCGAACCTGCCTCAGGACCTTTACAACTGATAGACTTTAAGGAAGACCCTGAAGAGCCCACGTTTTGCTCCAGACCTGTAGCCCCAACAATGATCTCCAGCCCAGCCCCCTATTAACCTTGCCCACCTCAAGGTCCACAGCAGCAGGATGTGCCCTAGCTAGTGGCTTAGCAGCCTAGACGACCAGGAGGGCTTGCTCCCACCCCCAGACCCACACATGCCTAGTCCTGTGAAGCTGTGACTCCCAGTGTGCAAGAACTTGATATGTGAGACAGTCTTGCTTGTCATTTCAAGTTCAAATGACCAAGAAGTAACCAGTCATGAGATTCAGTCATCCAGTCCTGTAGCAGACATTGGCCTGGCATCCCAGCCACCAAGTCCCCATAAGGTAAAGCAGGATTCGGCTTAACACGCAGGGATCTAATGCCCTCTAGGCCTCAGGGCTAGTGCAGGTCAACCTTTGGGAATGAGCACTTTTCAGAGTTCCTGACTCTGAGGCTCCTGTCATTTGGTAAGTGGTTCCTTTCTCAAGCAACGATAGGGGAAAGCAGGTCAGCAGCCTTCTGTGTTCCAGACCTGCTCATGCCTCATGGGAGCACAGAAGACATCAAAGATGCCTCCATGCAGGACAGCCCCTGAATGCTGCCCTGGGCTAGTCCCCAGAACACGGGAGAGTCACGGGAGAGTCACGCAGGCCTTCAGGCTCATTGAGGCCTGGGTCTGCGGTGCTCCTCCCTCTCTCCCCCAGCCCTGTGCCACACCCAAGCCCTTATTCTCTTTTCCTTTGTCCGTGAGTCTCCTCTCTCCCGTTCTCCAGACTTGTCTCCCTCATTTCTCCTAGTCATTTCCAAACCTCCTGGAGTGTCCCCTCTTGCTCCAGGCAGCACCTGCTACCCAGAGCTGAGGTCTCCATCCCTACAAACCATGCTGCAAGGAAAGCAGCTTTATCTACCTCCATCTGTCACAGAGGACATCCTTGGGAAAGTGAGGAAACAAGCTCAGAAGGAGATCTGCCGGGATGCAAGCTGGGGCTCCCAGTCAGGCCCAGCCCCCAACCACCCACTCATCCATCTGTCCTCCCCCTCCCCCCACCCACTCAGCTCCTCTGAAGCTCCTGGTAGATTCTCCTTAGTATATGCTGTCTTATTGTTCCCTTATGAATTGTCTCATGTGTCTGAATTTCCAGATGGTGTCTCGAGCTTTCCCTCTGTCCGAAACTTGGAGCCTGAAGCCCTTTCTCAGAGCCAGAGAGAGAGCCTCAAGCTTCCCAGCAGCTGGAGGTGATTCACACAGGCAACCAGGCTACATGATAGGGGAGAGGGAGACATGTGTTACTCTCTCTGCGAAGTCCAGAACAGAGAACTGAGGCCACAGGGTCTGCTGGAGCAGCTGGGACTAGAATATGTACAACAAATGAGAGCATCAGTCTGGAGAAGGGAACCCAAAATCTAGATCCCTCAGGCTATGGTTGGAATGGGGATACAGCCGGGGAAAGAAAGGCAGGAATCCCAATTAGGGGGGCTAATGCCTGGCCTGCACCCCTCAAGAAGACCCTCAGCTTCTTCCTTCTAGTCCTGCATACTTCTTTCGGTCTCCATTGGCTGGTCTGATGCAGTCAAGGACAGGTTAAGGAGGGGGATTCAGCTGAGAACCCTTGACACACAAGTCAGCTTAGTTCCTGGGACTCAGGTTGTCAGAGTCCTGGACTTCTGGGTAGCTCAGAGCCAAGGAGTGGTTCCAGCACTCGGGAGCCAGTCCTGAGGATTTATTCAACTCCAGTAGATAGTCCTGGGCAGATGCCAGCTTGGGGTGGGGGGGGGAGGGGTGCAGGGGTGCCGTGGTGGCCCTGCAGCCCATTCCAGGAAGGCCCCTCCTCAGATTGCTTTCCTGTTCAGTCATTTTGCCTGTAGGGGAGCCTCCTCCTCACTCATCCTCCAGCACCCACAGGCCCCAAACTCTCTGCCCTTCCCCAGGACTTATCTGCTTCAGGTCACTTCTAGTCCCAGGAACTAGACAGCTTCTGTCTACACTTGTGAAATCCACATACAGTCCAGCACCAAGGGGTAATCCCTGAAAGCATTACTTGGACAATTACTACATGAATATTTGCAGTGATTAAAATACACTCTGCACTGGGTATAGTGGCTGCCCTCATCCCCACCCAATGAAATCATGCAAGAGGCAGCCCAGTGTCAGTGTGGAATCTTCACCATCACTTGGAACCACCAGACTTTTAAGTTTCTGTCAATATAGTAAGAGTTAAAAGGCATCTTCTGGTTTCAATTTTTTTGTGTGTGTGGTACTAAGGTTTGAACTGAGTACCACACCTTGAGCCACTCCACCAACTCTTGTTTGTAATGTTTTTTTTTTTCAAGATAGGGTCTCACAAACTATTTGCCAGGGCTGGCTTTGAGCTGCAATCCTCCTGATCTCTGACTACTGAGTAGCTATGATTATAGGCGTGAGCTACTGGCACTTGGCTCAATTTTCTTTCTTTCGTTGCTTGTGAGATATCTGCATCTGTTTTGTGTTGCTAGATGCTAGGTATTTTATAAGAAAACGAGGTGTGCTTGGCTCATAATTCTGGAAGTCCAACAGCATGGCACTGGATCTGGCAAAGGTCCTGTGGCAGTATCACAACACAACGGAGAAGCAGAAGTGGAAGTGGGCATGTGCAAAACAGATGGTGCATTATTATAACAACCTATTCTTATGGTAAATAACCATAAGAATCCTAACCTGCTCCCTGGAGATGTACATTAATCCCTTCCAAGGGTGGTGCCCCATGACCTAATTATATACTACAAAGGCCCCATCACCTCAGTACCATTATATTGGGGAACTAAGCCTCAACATGAGTTTCCATAAGAACAAACCACACGTCCAAACCATAGCCGATAGTGAGCAACTTGTGTGTATATTGAGTGTTGAGTGACTTATTTTTTAAGAACATGGACAGTATTATCTCTAGTTTTGTTCTTGTGTCTTAAAAACCACATGGAAGTCTGATCACGGTGGTGCACATTTGTAATCCCAACTACTAGGGAAGCAGAGGCAGGAGGACTGTGATTGGAAGTGAGCACTGACAGAAAGTATGAGACCTTGTCTGAAAATCAAACTGAAAAAAAAAAAAGATCTTAGGGTATGGATCAAGGAGTAGGGTGTTTGCCTAGCAAGCACAAGGCCCTGAGCTCAATCCCAATTACCACCAAAAAAAAAAAAAAAAAAGAAACCAGGCATGGTAGTACACACCTGTATATTAGCTACTTGAGTGGTAGGAGGGCCTTGACTTCCATTCTAGCCTGGGCAAAGTTGGTGAGACCTGTCTCGAAAACAAAATAAAGCTGGGGTGTGGCTCAAGTGATAGACTTCCTGCCTAGCAATCAGGAGGCCCTGAGTTCAAACCCCAGTTCAAACCAAGCTTTGGGGATTTCAACTCTAAGCCCCAGGTCTTTTCTCTGTCAATGGAAGGGGTGGACCTACAATTTACTGTCCACTAACAAGCAGCAGAACTGCCAAGACAGAGGACTGTAGGAAGAAAAGATACATCCTACCGAGCTAGAACTCTGACTGAGATGGTCAACATGTGCCTCATTTTTTTTCACTAAGGTATAATTTACACAACACGATGTTTTGATGATGAGCATCTGAGACCTATCAGATGGTTAAGGGCAAGACCCTGATAAATTCTTAGAAATTATAATCTTCCTCCTCTTGCCCCTACCTGTGATGACCTGACAACAGGAATCATTGAAATATTTGGGATGGCTTCTTCCCTTGAGCTGCCAAGATGCCAGTCCCAATCCCACACCAATGACCTCCAGTGGGTGAGGACCACATTTCCTGCTGCCTCCTGGACAATGTGTTTTGAAAGTCATGTGGACACCTCTGACTCTAAAATTCACTAGCCTCTCCCCAAGTACCTCCTCATCCCAGGGATTGGCGTCACCACTAGAAACTGCCGCCATCCACTTCCCGTGACCCACTATTCAGTATCTTCCTTGTATCCCTCCAAATTCTTTTTTTGAAGAAAGTCCACGTAGTTTACTGTCCAAATTATGACATCTTGGGAGAGTGAGCAAAGGCACTATTAATGATTGAACTGGGACAACAGGCAAACATCAGGACATCTGGTCACAGTGAATAACAGGAGACAAAGACAGTGAATGATGATGATCACTAGGCCCTGCTATGGTTGCCAAAAATGCAACATAGCCTAAGTGTTCACCAGCAGGAGCCATTCAAAGGATGGAATTGCAATTATTTATTTTCTAAATAATTTTAGAAAATTTAAGTAGAAAAAAATAGGAAATTTACATAAATAGAATTTTTTAAATTTGGAAAAATAGGGAAAAACTTAAGATAAATGATGCTAAATGACAAAAGCAAAATGTGACACATATGAAAGTATATGTCTGATTATAAACATAAATGTACAAATATGGGTAGAAATTTGTACACTCCACATACACAAAAAAGACTAAAAGGCATGACAGTAGTCTCTCCTTATCCAGATTCAGGTACATGCAATCAACGGCAATCCAAAAAGATTAAATGGAAATTTCCAGGAATAAGCAATTTATAACTTTTAAACTGAATGTTCTGAGTAGCATGATGAAATCTTGCACTTTCCCTCCTCATCTCAGTCGTGAACCATCCCCTTGTCCAGCTGTATACGCTACCTGCCCCTTAGTCACTTAACCATCTTGGTTATCCAATGACTACTGTAGTACTGCAATGCTTGTAACCCTTATTTTACTTAATAATGAGCCAGAGGCAGGAGGATCATAAGTTCAAGGCCAGCCTAGGGACAAAGGAAGACTTAGTCTCAAAGAAAAAAAGGAATTTTTGTTAATAGCCCAAAGCACAAGAGAATTGGTTTAAAAAAAAAAAAAAAGGAGCTGTCAGACTATAAAACATGGAAGGACAGATTAACTCTGTTGCTATATAGCAACAATTCAGGGAATCTAGGGAAAAAAATATAGTAGACTATGGGTACCATCTAGGGCCTTGGAGTATATCCTTCCTAGCATAAGAGGTAGTTATGTTCTACTACAACTGAAATCATAATTACCCTGAGTGGCTGGATTTCTATTTGAGTGTTATATTACTATTTTTGTAATTTTTAATTTTTTTCCTATTATAATTATTACTGGGGCTGGGGATTGAGCCCAGGGCCTCACTCTTGCCAAGAACATGCTCTACCACTGAGCTGTACTCCCAGCCCTTCATTTTCCACATTTTTAATAACGAGTTTTACATTTTTTTTTTTTTAGGGATTCTCAAATTTTATTTTGATGACAAAAATCACACAGGGGGTAACAATTACAGTGGACAAAGTAGGAGTAGATGTGGCCTAGGAAAAATGGAGGATGGATGCCCAGAACTCCTGGAAGGCCTCCTGGAATTCTGGCCCTCCTCCCAGAGCCCTCCAGGCACCCTGAGCGCCTCCTGGAACCCCCAGAGTCCCCACAGAGCTCAGCTTGAGAACTGGTACTCTAGACCACGGGTTCCCTTGAACAAGGAGGTTGAGATACCAGGACATTTTAGACTGTGGCCTCGCCCTCGCCAGCGGCTTCCTCATCTTCTTCCAGCAGGCTGTAGGAGGCGTGGCTCTGGCAGGGTCGCTGCAGCGGGTGAGCCAAAAGCTTCGCCATGCAGTTGTGCAACTCCAAAGCCGGTCCAGCTAGCGCCACCTCGTACTTGTAGCTGGTACCCTTGGTATCCAGGCTGCCCATGAAGGCAAACATGTCCTTCCAGCTCATCTCTTCCTCCTTCTCGTCGGCGCCGTTGTGGATGTAAACAACGTCAAAGAAGAAATACGGACATTGGAACATTTTCTTCATGGGTTCGGTCAGGGCGAACTGGGGCTGGCAGGGCGGGCGGCTGTAGACAAGGATGGTGCGGACCACGTATGGAGGCGGAATGGTCTGCACGTTCTCTGTGACTGGCAGCTCAGTCTTCTGCTGGATGAGGCTGAAGAGACCTTCCAGGTTGAAGGTGGTGCAGGACGCGGTCTCCAGGTCATAGAGGCAGCTGCAGAGCTCCCGGGGGTCGGAGGTCAAGCCAGACAGCCAGGCCGAGTCGTCGTTCACCACGACCAGCGCAAACTCGTGGCTCTTGTCGATCTTATGTTTGGTCCGCACGAACATCTCGATCATTTTCTGGGAGACATTGAGGGCATTGGTCTTGGAGCCATTGAACGACTCCAGCTTCGGCAGCGACATTTCCTCGGACAGGTCCAGGCAGATGATCACCTTCTCTGGACAATTGACTCTTGGTGTTCGAATCTGGACCTCGGGGGCTGGCGGAGGCACCTGCCAGGGCTTGGGGACCACTCCTGCTGGGTTAGGGGTCCCATCGTCAGCACTGGCCGCCTCACCCTCACCTTCACTGCGGCTGCCCACACTGGCCTGTGCCCCCAGTGCCCGATCCTCGGCCCCCTCAGGGTTGGAGCGCGTTCGAGGACGAGGCTCAGCGGATTGCTCTTCCTCCTCCTCTTCTTCCTCCTCTTCGGTGTGACTGCTGGGCTCTGTCACTTCCATGCCTCCTGTGTAGCCGAATGGAGCAGGGTTGGGAGACGCCAGGATTCTCCCGGTAGCCGAACCGCCCTCCAAGTCAGCCACCGCTTCTCTAGGAAGCCGCCATTTTCTAACCGGAAGTTGTGTGACGCTGTCGCAACGCCTCCTGGGAAATGTAGTTCCGCAGACCTCCGGACGCGTAGAGCTGTGAACCAGAGGAGCCTGGAGAGGACTTGAAAGTTGAGTTTTCTTTAAAAATCAGGAAGAAAAAAAAATTTTTTTCAAGAAACGAAAATATATTTATTCATTCACAAGTGTTTGTTGAAGCCTATTTCGTTCTTTTTTTTTGTTCTTTTTTTTTTTTTTTTTTGTCAGCACTAGGGTTTGAACTTAGGGCATCATGCTTGCTAGGCAGGCACTTTACCACTTGAGCCACTCCGCCAGCCCTTGAAGCCTATTTCGGATCATACACTGGCTTAGACAGAGGTCCCTTCCAGGGCTTGGCCTCTGTCATTAGGCATTAGGGAGTGAGCAGGAAGAACAGGGGAACCAGGAGGACTTGCAGCTTGGCCAGATCTGATCGGAAGGAGGTAGGCTGTCCCCTGGACTCTTGAGAGCTCAGGGACAATGGCCTGGGGCTGCAGAGGGAGGCATTGTACAGATCATAGGGCTCATGTAAGTGAGCCTGGAACCTGGTGAACAAATCTGGGCTGGAGACTGGCTAAATAATGCTTTTCAGGGTTTCCTCTGTCTGCTATTCAAGAATGAGAGGTGGAGCCGGGCGACAGTGGCTCACGCCTGTAATCCCAGCTACTCAGGAGGCAGAATTCAGGAGGATCGTGGTTCGAAGCCAGCCCAGCCAAATAGTTCATGAAGACCCTATATGAAAAACCTAACACAAAAAAACGCGCTGGTGGAGTGGCTCAAAGCGTAGGCCCTGAGTTGTAGCCCCGGTAACACACACACACAAAAAGGAATGAGAGGTGATGCTGGGACAAGGAGCTAGGGGTTCAAGGTGGGTCTGGCTGAGATAAGAGGTGCACTTAGGAGTCACAAATGGACTCTAGCTGGGGACAGTAGATCTTCTGTCCATTCACTTAACAAATGTCCTTGCTGGGCGCTGGTGGCTCACTCCTGTAATCCTAGCTACTTGGGAGGCAGAGATCAGGAGGATCACAGTTTGAAGCCAGCAAGGGCAAATAGTTCATTTCAAATGTCTCGAAAAATACCCACACACCCCCTCCAAAAAAAGGGGGGGAGGCTGGCAGAATGGCTTAAGTGGTAGAGTGCCTGCCTAGCAAGGATAAGGCCCTGAATTCAAACCCCACTACCGCCAAAAAAACCAAATGTCCTTTCATAACAAGCCTGTAGATAAGATCTGAGATGGATACAAGAAACTAACATCCCAGGAAAAGCAAGGGGTCAGGACCATGAGTGGAACTGTTCAATCTTTGCTGAGAAATGGAGCTGAAACAACACCCTGAGCAGAAGGAACAGCAGCCAAAAGCTAGTGCAGAAGGGAGATACAGCTTGCTACCCTCCTGTTCTCTTGTGGTTGGGACACCACATTCCATGAAACTCTATCTTAGGATCTATATGTCTGCAGCTTAGATTTTCCTGGCAGCTGCAGAGAAGCCTGGGGAAGGAACTGAGGGGATTTCATGTGTTGATTTTCTGGGGATATTGGAAACCTTCTATATCTTGGTGACACAGATAGGTGTGTACGTTTGTCCAAATTCATTACATGATACACACAGGATCAGTACGGTTCATTGTATATGAATTGCACCTTGATAAAAAAATTAAAAAGTGCTGGTTGTGGTGATCATGTCTATAATCCCAGCACTCAGGAGGCTTATGAGTTCAAGGTCTGTCTGGGCTACATAGAGAGACTTTGTGTCAAAATAAATAAAATAAAATAGCTCAGGCCAGACTCTAGTAGCACAAGCAGTGGAGTTGCTGTGCCCTGCAGCCACAGGAAGAGCTATGAGGTGATGGTGCCTGAGGGTAGTCAGTAGGCCAGTGGCTGTCACAGGCAAAGTTTAGAGGTCATGGCTACTGCCCAAATTCCTGCACTTACTGAGGTCTACTGTGTGCTCAGGCCAGTAGACCTGGACAGGCTGAGACTCATTCAATTTTCCCTGCAACCCTATAGTCATCATGATTGCTGGGCAGAGAAAACTCAAGGTCATGGGACTCATGTAGCAAAACTCAGGCTGCCTCCTTCCAGAGAGTCAGAACTGAATGTTCCATCCTGTGGTCATCATTTGCTGTAGCTGGGAAACCACACATGACTGTGTGTGTGTGTGTGTGTGTGTGTGTGTGTGTGTGTGTGTGCGCGCCAGCTAGCAGTTAGTCTTCAGCATGCTTTTCTGAAACCTTGCGAGATGATCAGTTGCTCAGTTTAGAAAGTAAATACAGAGCAGCACAAAGAGCATGCAGCAGAGCATGTGGTGTGAGGCAGGCCGGGGGCCTTGCACGCTGCAGCTGAGGGTTTGTTCTCTGCTCTGTGAGAATCACAACCCCCCTTGGCTCTGTGGGGGGAGCAGGTCAGTAACTGCACTCCTATGTTAGAAGAGCCCTCTGTGGTCTGTGTATCTGCCTGACATGGTGTGTATAAGAGTGCGTACATACTGTCTTTACACACCTGCACTTGTCCTATATGCTTTTTAGACAGCATGCAAATAGAGTCATCTAAGCTTAACAAAGGGACTATTGACAGTTGTCCTCTCCTTAATCTGCAAGAAACACATTCCAAGTTCCCCGGCAGATGTCTGAAACCAAGGAACCAAGGATAGTAACAAAACCACAAATTTAATGCTTTTTTCCATCTTAACTAAGGACTTAACCACACGTTGTAGCTATAAGTTTTGCAATTTGAGGTGACACAGGAAAATTAGCATAAATTTCCTTTTCTTTCTTCATAATTTCATGGATAGAAAATTCATTTTTACTGTAGATCTTAGCAAATCAACATGATTTTATTTTTATCTCACCTTTTCACCTTTTCACTTAAAAGAAGTACTTTACAGCTTCTCTTTGGCATATCTGAATTGCCATCATCACTACACTTGTGCCTTATGACCATTACTAGGTAAAATAAAGGTCATTCAAACACAAGAGCTGTGATACTGCAAGTCAACTTGAGAACCAAGACAGCTAGTGTGACTAACAGTTGGGTAACATATACAGTGGGGATACAGTGGACAAAGAGATGATTCACATCTTGATACTGCAAGATTTCATCACCCTACTCAGAAAAGCACACAATTTAAAATATACAAATTGTTTATTTCTGAAATTTTTCATTTAATATTTTCAGACCACAGTTGACCACAGGTAATAGAAATCACTGTGGATAAGGGGGAACCTCTGAACCCAGGTGCTATAAAAGTGTCAGGAAACCACAAGGCATAGTGCAGTAACCCAGGGCCAGAAAAAAAAGCTGGGTACTATTGCCCTACCTAGGCGTGAAGGTGTAAGAGGAGGACTTTGTGAAGAGGGTCACCTACAGGAACTATATCCTTCAACCTTAACCTTCAGGAGAGTTACAGGCAGATAAGTGTAACCCTGCAGGCAAGAAGTAAGGGAATAAATACCCTGAACTCATTCTCCTTTACCTTCCAATCTCCTGCCAGCCTCACCTGGCTAGGCCCATCTGAAAGCCAGCCATGGATGCAGAGCAAGGTTCTGAGGGGGACTGGCTGTAAAGGGCATTGGCACAAATAGCAGTGACTCCGTACATGGTCTGTAGGTAAAAGGATAGATAATGGCATATTCTATGAAGAATTCCTGTGTGAGTGTTTTAGGGGGTTATTTTATTTTGCTTTGTTTTGGCAGTACTAGGATTTGAACTGAGGGCTTTGAGCTTGCCAGGCAGATACTCTACCACATGAGCCACACCTCAAGCCATCCTATGTGACTGTTTAAAATATTGGCCAGGCTCCAGTGGCTCACGCCTATAATCCTAGCTCTTTAGGAAGTGGAGATCTAAAAAATACCCAACACAAGCTGGGTGCAAGTAGTTCACACCTGTAATCCTAGCAACTAAGGAGGCAGAGATCAGGAGGATCATGGTTTGAAGCCAGCCTGGGGAAACAGTTTGTGAGACCCAATCTAGAAAATATCCAACAAAAAAAAGGGCTGGCAGAGTGGCTCAAATGGTAGTGTGCCTACCTAGCAAGCATGAGGGCTTGAGTTCAAATCCCAGTACTGCAAATAAAAAATATTATGGGAGATATATTATGCCTAGACCTGGGTGGAGGGGGAAAATTAAATAAAACTATCCTATTTTAATATTAAAAATTATATAAATATGGGTGTGTTCTGAAAAGCATAGGAAAGAAATCTGGTTATCTTATGGAATTGCCATGGTGGCATGGATAGGTGGCAGTGAATTTTCATACTGTGTGTTGCATGCATGACATTAAGTTTGTAAAAAATGACCATGAATATTTTTCTAGTAAAAAAGTACAAAAGGGCTGATGGTGTGGCTCAAGTGATAGAGCACTTGCCTAGTAAGTGCAAAACCCTGAGTTCAAACCCCAGTATTCTCCCCTCCCCCCAAAAAAGAGAGAAACTCTCTTGGAAGCCAGGACTTAATAGGCTAAAGAAGAGTCTGATGCAGGGAGAGCCAAGAAGGCTGCTTGACAGAGAGAGGACAGGCAGGCAGTGGTCAAGGAACTGACAAGGGCAAAGGCAGTAAAGATAGTGTGGAGGACTGGGCACTGGTGGCTCATGCCTGTAATCCTAGCTACTCAAGGAGGCAGAAATCAGGTGGATCACAGTTTGAAGTCAGTCCTGGGCAAATAGTTCATGAGACTCTGTCTACAAAAAAAAAAAAAAAAAAAGAAAAGAAAAAGAATCCATCACAAAAAAAGGCCGGCAGAATGGCTCAAGCGGTAAGAGCACCTGCTTAGCCTGTATGAGTCCCTCCCTGCGTTCAAACCCCAGTGCTGAAAAAAAAAAAGGCATGGAGGGCTGGGCTACAGAATGTTTCAGACCCTCCTCCTCCTATCCCTCCTCCTCTCCCTCTGTCTTCCCTTTGGAGAATGCGGTATGGATTGAAGCCAAGGATGCAGCTGATGTGGTCAGAAAATCAAGCAAATATATAGAAAATAATAGAAGCCAGGA